CAAAAATTCTACTTTTTTATTCCATAAACAAAAACCATAATAATAACAACCGCGCATCTAGTACAGGCCTGAAAGTATAGAGCTGTAGATGTAAAAAATACCGACATTCTTTTCGGTATGCTTTGCCGACGAGAAAGATAAGCGGCCATTTTGGATGAAAGATTTTGGTTTAGTCGATGAATAATGTTATCACTGTGAGGCTCCGGAATTAGTTCGAACAAAAAAGAAATGTACGGTATATGTAACACACATTTCGAAGCCCTATGAGTTAATATAATAATCCAACGGAAGAAAGGTTCTAAATTATTTATTAAAATATTAAAAGTATAATTATTAATTTAGATAAGAGATGGCGCCTAACGCTTACCTTCAGTACCAAATTTGTTTGTATTAATTATTTGTTTATAGCCATATTGTAGCCCGAATATTTAGGCGATCGATTAAATTAAACCATCGACATAACAAGTAATATAAGTTTAGAGACTGCGACATTGGACTTTGACGTCGTCGCTCATAAAGAATAGAGAGAAAACAATATTTAGGATAAAAGAAAATTAAAAGGAAAATTGTTTAAAATGCAATAAGAAAAAAAGGAAGCAATGAGACGCAATATGAGCGCGGGTGTCGCGATCAGAGTCCAGAGGATGGTGTCGGATAAACCATCCCGGGCAGACCTAACTTGGTCTCAAATTCTACTTACATTAGAGACGGGTAAGAGACGAATCGGGGAGCGAGGAGGGAAAAGCCCGATCAACTAGAAAATAATCGAACGAGAAAAACATATAAAACCTCTGTGATTGAGGAGCTTCCACCTCTGGCTTCCTTCACAGCGTTTCTTCCTTTGAACTTTTGCCTCCCAGTTCCAACCTTCTCTTTCTACATCGTCTCCGAGAGAGAACAATTGTGTTATCCTTCCTGTCGCTGCCATCTCGATATCTGACTCGCCGCTGCCCCCCGGAGCTGTTCTTCAGAAAAACTAAAGGATCCAGTACTTTTTCCACTGACACTCCATCGAACTTGGACATGCAAACCCGATTATGTAAGCATATGTTGAAAAATAAACGGTTTTCTTTTGTAATATTTGTCGTTTCTTGCCTTTAGAATCGCCACCCACATACTCTACGGCCTTATACCATCCCGACGAAAGGGAATGAACCCCCTAATTGGCCTGTTTGCATTACGAAGATGAATAGATAAATGTAGGTGTTTACTAGAGCTACAAGTACACGACATAATCTCCAAAATAGCACTTTTCTGTTTGAAAATAGTTTCTTTGGTATGTCGTAGGTTCGTGCCTGACTAACGGGCTGGTCGCAGGATTTTTGCTAGGTTTTGTTCACCTGTTTAACACTTAAATATGAGCCGAGCGAAAAATTCCTAAATAAAGTCCTCCCGAAAGGAATCTTTCGTTTGGCAGATTGCCCATGTGTTTGTATTGTCTTATACAAATTAACACATCAAATTTTATATTTTTAACGTGAAAAAAGTTGACATTAATGGTACATAGTGTACGTGGACCTCTAATTATTCATCGGTATAATCAGAGAGAGAAAAATTTCCTTGTACAGCTAGCTCATTTTATGTTATTTTTCCACATAAACACAATAGCATTTCAATAAATATACACAATTTCATATTGAAAATAAACACAATGTAAACTATAAGGCGTGTCTACATTTCTTCCAGCCAGGGACTCCCGTACACTAGAACACTAAAGGCCATACAACTTCGTTGTATGTTGAACAAAACTTGACCTTGAAAACAAGGAATGTTCCTTGCTTTTGAGGCCAAGTTGACCCAATTGCAACCAGTGCCAACTTGTGGCAACGCTGATCGACATTGATTCATAGTTTGAAGCTTCTCGCATAATGTGTGATGTCCATTTTTATAGCTTATGCCTTGCCTTTTTTATAGTTCGCTGGCACCTCTGCTTCCAGCTCACGAATTGATTTGCATTTTATTAATTAAGAAAATACGTAAAACTAATACAGGACGTAATTCCTACTATTTTTTCCAGGAGCGGAAGGAACCAAGAGAAAAAATTGCAGGGCTGACCGTAATCAAAACCCATTGAAGACTCCTGCATCCTTCCAAACAGTTGCTGCATTTACTACTGTTATGTGAAAAACACATTTCTAATTAATAAGAAGTGTATATAAGAGAAAGGGGACGGAATGATTGCAAATTTAGGATTGTCATCCGTCTCTGATAAAATATAAGTAAAATTAATGCGTTGCATCTGTGTCTCGGCGCCATGTTTGATCCAAGTTCATAATGCAGAAACAGTTATTATTTTCTTGTTTAAATTAGTTACAAAGTAGAAAACAATTTTAATAATAAATTTAAAATAGAATTTACACTCGCATGTTCTAAATTAAAAAAAATTTAACTTATATATATGTATATTGTCTCTATCGTAACGCGTCAGCGCGACGAGAAACGTCGCATTCGCTGACATATCTGTAATTTAGAAGTTCTCTTCTAAGAAACCTTTCTGATCTCTTTAATAAAAATGATCTATATAATAATTAGTTTAGTAAAGAGGTTATTTTAAACTAACAAAAGTTTTAAATTTAATTTTACACGGTTACGATAAGCGATGCGACGTCGCACGCGTCGCGTAATGTCGCATCGTTTACCACAATGTAATTCGTAGTCGCTAAAAGCTTTTTAAAGCTTAAAAAAATATGTAATTAAACTGAATTATTTCACAATTCTGAGTAAAAAATAATCAAATTATTAGTATTTTAATTAATAAACTTTTCAAAAAATGTCAGATTCTACATAAAAAAAAATTAACGGAAAATGATGGTGTCGAAATGATGGTACAACATACTTAACTTATTTTATTTAAAAATAAATAAAATCACCATTATCGTTAAAAAAAAATATCAGCACAGAAAACCATTCTTTTCTTACAGAATTTTTGCTTTCAGAAGAAACTTTTTCTGTTTTTTTATATAACAGTAATGTCTCTATGAGTTTTAAGCACCTCTACCGTCATTTCGACGCCATGTTTGATCGGAAGAAACGAAATCGGTTACGACACGCATATCTCCAATATGTCAATATTAAAATACCAATGACTTATTCCTCCATATGAATCACTAAAGTATCATAGGTTATGTATGCTTCATTACTTAAATAAGGCAAAGTATTTACTTAGTACTTTGCTCCATCATTAATGGGATGAATCAACACTAGATAAACAAGCGAGCCACCATATAATATAACTAACAATATTACTAATAACTCTCAGTTTGTAGCGCTAAATTCCTCCTGGTAGTGATTTTGGCAACTATTTTTCCTGTGATTGTGTACTACATTCGTTGTGGACCTAAGCTATATAACATGTAAGAGGCCTTTTTCTAGCAGTAAATAGTAAATTTAAAAGTACGAAATTTCTTAAAGTTTCATAGATTGCGCCTGGAATCGATAAGCTTAACTGATTTAATATATCAAATTTTCTATAAAACTCTAAAAAATTTCGGAAATTAAATATTTTTTTATATTTATAATATTCAAGTTTTATTTATGTAATAAATTTTTTAACATTTAATTAATTTTTCAAATATTATTGAAAACTTAATTAGATATTTATTCAACAGATGGCAACAGTAGGTATTTTATATTTAAATTATATTATTTTAATTTCTTTTTTACATAAATAAATACACAATTAAATGTAAAATATAAATATACTTAAATTTTTATAGTATTTTATCGAATTTTTGTTTTTTTTAACCTATATGAGCAAGTAGAAGGCTATTACAATGTCATTATTTTTAAATTAATGTATATTTTTTTATTAAAAAAAAAGTAGATTTAAAATATTTTATAAAAATATGTTTTATTATCAATTTTAGAAAATAATTTTTTAATAGAATTTAATTACTAATAAAAATTTAGGAATATTTTTCAAAAATAACATCTGTGATGTACACGTGTTATTAATTTAAATTTATGCATAACCATGCATTTCTTTAACTTTAATTTCAAATTCTAAATTTCAAATTCTAAAACTCTCTCTTACATTTTTACAAACAGAATTTGATACGGTCTAATGAAATACTTATTAAATAATTAAATCCTAAATAAATCTCTACGTTATCATTAATACTTTAATTAATTTTAATTAAATCCCCGAAACCCGATCCGATTGCCGAAAACAGGATGTGAGAAAATCCTAAATAATCTTTAGAATATTTATTACACTTTCGCTTTAGGTACTGCAATGCCCTTTCACAAAAATGTCCCTTAAAACCACTTTCAAGGTAGAGGTCACGGCGAGAAAGACGATACACACAAACACACAAAAGAAGTCTAGCCATTCCCAAAATTAAAAATAAAAAAAAAAATTTAATTTAATTTCTGTGACGTCACGGTTTTCAAGTATTCTAAAATCTAGATGGCGGTAATTTTTAAATATTTTTGCGTAGAGTAAATATTAATTAATATATATATTGATATTAATTTTTAATTGTAAATTTAAATGTAAAAGAATATTAATTTTAATGTATAAGTATAATAACGTTTAAAAATTAAATTAATATAACCGTTAAAAAAAATATTTAAAAAAAATGACGTCACAATTTTTAAAATGGAATTTTTTTTAATATAAATGAATAAATGATAAAAAAATTATTTGTAATTGTGATAATATTTTTAAAATAAATTAATATTGTAATAATAGGACAAAATAAATTATCTATTCACAAAAATTAGACAAAAAAAATTAATTAAGTTGTAATGACGTAACGACATTCACATATTTTAAAATCTAGATGGCACTAACTGTAATTAGGTGATTTAGTGTTTTTATTTAAACAAAAAAAAACTTAAATATGGATGAATAAATATAAAAAATTCGGTTTTGTAACTGTGATAACAGTTAGATAAATTAAATAATATAAAATTTCGGATTTTAGGTATATTTGGGGTGTAGTAAGAATAGGAGTCATGCAGTTAGGAAGCGGAATGATGAATGTATCGATCCTGAACGCGGCTGGAAAATTGCGCAAACATCGATGCGCAGAACGATCTATAGGCTGTGTGTATGTTGTGTGTGTGTGCTGCAGGATCTCGTGACATTTACTAGCTTGCCTTCTATGAGTTAGGACGTTGCTCAAGTTTAAAATCTCTACAAATTAGTAAGTATCCTATTACGTTATTCGAAACGCAGAAATTATTTATAATAAAATGGCTTACAAAACTGAGGAAATTGTATATAAATTCGCGTATAAAACGCACGCCCCGTAAGCGAATAACATTAAACTTTCACAAAGAGCGAAAATTCGATTCATAACCTTGAAAGACCGGTCGTGCGGTAGGAATATGATTCGTGAGTGTGATTTTGCAAGCGCGTATTTGGAGATGTGTTGCTTATTATATAATTTACTGCACTGTACTAGAGGACAAGAAACCCGTTGGGTGCATGGTCCTTAAATTCTTTATGGCGTGTGACATATATACAAGTTGACATCACTTGAAGGAAGTGTTGTAATGTCTGGTTACTGAAATACTCGTGGAAAGAGTCACGTGGAGTGCACGTGTATCGTATTTAGTAACATGCTTGGATGCATTCCAGTTGGCAACGTTAAAAATCCGACACGAAAAGCATCTTTGATTGTTGTCGGCCATGTTTGAATCACCGATTAAGAGGAATGGAGCGTTTCTTAAAGTAAATAAAGAAATGTAAATAATTATAAAAACGTTTACGAAATGTTCTTGAAGGAGTAGAAATGTTTGCAATACTCCAGGAGTGATTTTTATGACGTGGAAGTTGCGATTCTTAAAGTTATTAATGGAAACGCGCGGTAGAATAATTTTTAAAATTTAATATTTACGCATAAAGTTTATTAAAGTATCATAAAACAAATAAGTTATTCTATTCCTAAATTTTTTTACTTAAAAATTTTGGCAAGTTTTAAAGTTTTATATACTTTTTTATTATTTAAATTTACTTTAATTGTAAGTCATATACGCAAAATAAACAGCGCGCGTGTATAATGGATAAGTAATATTTAGTTTATCGCTAAAATTGGAACTATTTTCACGTGATAAAAAAAAAATTCTGATAAAAACTTTTGCGCCAAATTTAGTAACGTAAATATTATGAAGTAAGCTTTTATCACTTATTTACATATTTATCTCAATTGAACCTTGGATCTCCGAGATATTTAGTAAAAGAAAAATGATTAAAAATATGAAAGCAATCGATTAGATTTATAAATTTAGCAATGCCCTTGATCTTATAGATTATGGAATGCTTATAAACATTCCATTTATTTCATTCACCTTTGGTTTGTGAAGTAAATGATTTCTTCATCTGGTCTTACATCGTTGCGGCATTTCAATGTCACAAAGGAAGGCGGCGTATGTTGCCAGTTTTTTTTTTTTCTAATATTGTTTATAAAATCAATCATTCAAAGAAGGATAATTAATCATTTATTTGATGTAGAAATTATTTATATAACGAAAGCAAAAGTTTTATCATATTATTATATTATATTTCATTAATAGCCTAATCATCGAATTTTCTTGTTAAAACTTTAAAAAGATACGAAATAAAAATAAATAAATGAAGACAAGAAATAATAATATTTATATAATTTTGGAATTTGTATTCAAATTTCATCGTGTCGCTTTATTTCTTATTGCAAAACGATGTCTATGAAATAAGATAGGCATCATTTCAATATATTAAATGATCAATTTTAATGTTATTTATTTATATTAACTATATATTTTAAAATTATATCAATGTATAATTATTAATATAATTATATTACTATTTTTTAAAAAATTAGATTTTTAAAAATTCAAGTATCGTCTGTTCAGAATTCAAAAATATTTTCGCTTTTTCTGATTGGATAAAAATTATTTAAATTTCATTATATTAATTTTAACGTCGTATTTCAAAAAAATTAAATAATTATAAATAAATTATTTTAAACGTTAATTTAGAATTAATATTATTTTAGAATGAATGAAAGAATTATTTCCGAGAGCGTAAATTTAAAAATAAATAATAATTAATTTTAAATATTTCTTTAAAAAAAATACATTAATATATTAAGAATTTATAATATTTAATTTAAAATCTAAACTAATCAACAGCTTTCTTTTTTCTTTTAATTTTATATTTTAAATATCAACCAATTACATTTGAGAAAATTATTTAATGCCGCTAATAATTCAAGGACATCAATAATGCGTTTTAAACTTTTGTAATAAAATGTTTTATCTTAACTTTTTTTATTTCTTTGTACATTTTTTATTGTTAAATATTCGATCTTACGAATTAATTTAAAAACTCCTCTTACATCCATTCCAAATTATTATTTTCCGATTTTTACTATCAGATGGCAACGTCCAAGTTTCGAATTTCAAATGGTTACAGTTATATTGAATTTTTAAAAAAATATGTTTATAATATTTATTTATTAATTTATCTCTATACTTTTTTTTTAATTTTATTAAACGCTCAGTTGTCATAAATGTTGTAAGAGAAGTGATGACATAAACACTAAAGTGGACTCTCTCGGCCATTGTTGACACAACTAAAGCTCATATCGGTTGTCATGGCAACGATACAAGAAAGTGGGCCAGGAAATTGCTTCTGTACGTTATCAACTATACAGCAACGTTACGTCACAATTACTCGATATTATATATTCCCAACCTTATGTTTATAACCTTAACCTATTTAGTATTATCTGCCCTTCGTTTTATTACAGTATTTCACTTCATTTGTTTTCTTAACAATTACAGAATAGCAAATTAATGTTCGTTACCTGCCTTTTAAGCCGATACTTCGCTTCTAAATAGGCCATTTTCCTCGTGTTTTAGGAAGAATTATAATGTGTTTTGTATAAAAATTTAAATATCCTCTCGCCATAATTTGCATTATTATAGCTAATTAACAAGTGCATTAGTTTGCAATTTGTACGATGACACCAGAAATTTTTACGTATTGACAAAACAATGGAAATCTTAAAAGAGAGAATAGTTGGCATTTTTCGATGACGTAGACAGTACCGCAGTTGGTGATGTCAGCTGACGTCACACCGTGCGTGGGATACAAATAGCCGCCATTCTCTACATCAGATTTCATGAGATTTGCCACTTTCGAATGTAAAAATCTCTCTTAAGGTGGATTTTAAATAAGTAAATTAAACAATAATTTATCGATTAAAAAAATTAATAATAATTTTATTAATTAATTACAAAAAAAAGAATTTTATTATTGTCGGTATTTAAACAAGACTCAAATTACGAAGTGTTGTAGTGAAGCCAAAACTCATTCGTTGCCAAATTTATTTTTACTAGAAGTTACTATAGCGCGATGGTGTGGCAGATAGTGGACAATCGAAATACCCTAGGACTTCCGCCTCCTAGAGGATTGTACGATCCTCAGTACGAGAGAGAATCCTGCGGTGTTGGATTTATAGTCAGTATCGATGGAATATCGTCACATAAAGTAAGTACAATTTATAATTTACACAAATTATCTAACGTTCGAAATATGTAAAATCTTAAGCTGTACTCTGTACGGCTTTCCAATGACTAGCTGTGCTTCTGTGCAGCCTCACCATGTGACTAAAGAAGTTTAAATGAGTATTATGATGAGTTAAATGAGAAGTAGAACTTGAAGAAAGATAGATAAGACTCTTGTATATTCAATTTTAAAGTGTTGTTATGTTTTTAATAATAAATTTATATATATTTGTATTTTATAGCTAATACGTGATGCACAGTTTATATCTACACGAATGGAGCACAGAGGTGCGTGTGCTTGCGATAATAGCACAGGTGATGGAGCCGGTGTTACTACTTCCATTCCTCATGGATTTTATTCGAAAATACTCAAGTAAGTTTGATTATTTTTCTCTTCGTGTATACCCTACTCGTTCTACTACTATTGATTGTAAACATTTACAATGTATCACAAGTAAATTATTAGAAAATGTAGTGAGTAAGTCAACTAAGTAAACGTGAGTTTTGGATTATTTCCAACTTTTTAAACATCTTTTTTTAAGAATAGTAATTGCTACTATTATTATTAAGCCTACTGTACTAGGTTCCAATGGATGTAAACACATGAAAACCTTTTTTTACAGGGAGCAACTTGGAATTGTATTACCAGAACCTGGAAAATACGCTACTGGGATATTTTTCCTTGATAGAAAAACATCATCTAAGGCAGAAAAACACTTCCAATCACTGGCAGAACAGTTAAAATTGAAGGTAAGTTATTAAAATTGCAAGAAATTTTCGTAAAGGAGAAGAAACTAAAACGCGTTTTTTTTTTTTTTTAATTCCAGATCTTGTGCTGGAGAGATGTGCCAGTCGATGACAGTATTCTAGGTGAGGTTGCTAGATCCACCGAGCCATACATGCGCCAGGTCTTCATCACTGGACCAAATATGGATTATGATAAATTTAAAAGAGAGGTCAGATTTATTTTAAAGTTAAAACACGTCTTTTTTCCTCCCCGCGCTCGATGTTTATTTTTTTTTCCTGTGATGTAATCGGATTCGGCATCACACACGTGTCACGTAACAAAACTAATTAATGATCAATTTCGCGGCTGTGACGTCACCCGCGTGTCTCTGATGGCTTCGTTCGTATACATTAAGTTTATTCTAAAACTCCCTCGAGAAATTACAAGCGAAATTAGTATTTTCTGATTTTCCTCCTCATAATTTCATTCGTTCATCATTTTTAAAGTTAGGAAACGAACTTATTTTCCGTTTTAAAAATATCCCTGTTTTGAGGTTATTCCCCCACACTTAACTCATTCCGTTTAGATTTATATATGGCTTTTATTATCCTAGATAAAATTAAAAAGCTTTATAAAATAATAAAACCTCTCTTTTTTTTGTAAGAGAAACATAAAATAAAAATAATAATACCTCATCAATCATTCCGTCCCGTTCATGTCTCGCGAAACGAGAGTGTTACCCAAGATTCCTTGCGAACGGATCGAAGCAGACGATGTAAATAAAAATTTTTTACAATAAATCCATTATTATCGTTGAAGATAATAGATTTAAAGCAAGCGTGACCTAATATCCTAGTTTCTAAGACATTTCCGAGGCGTAAATTAACGTGATTTTTTCGAGGAATTTATTGATGCCTTTGGATATCTTCTTAATATGTTACGCGATCGTCTGATTCGGTTGCCATGACGACGGGCAAATCCTTTTAATGGAAGAAGGGTTTCGGCTTCTGATGCGAGGAAACTTTTTTCTCTGATTTATTTATTTCTTCGTATAAAGGTATTTAAATAACTAAATTTACCCGATTTAATAATAAATTTTATAATAATTTAAACTTCAATTCATTATAAGTTCGATTTTACGGGAGAATTCGAACTAACGCAGAGTCTCGATTATCCGGCCCGAACGGATACGGAGAGCTTTAAATATGATGAAAATCGCTCATTTATTCATTCTAAACCAATATTTACACACAATTCTATATCAGATGCGTTATTTAAAGCCATTTTTCAAATAAACCTACGGCCGGATAATCGAGACTTGATTGTATTATTAATGACTCTGAATATACAAAATAACTCAAATTCTCTTGATTATTCGGCAAAAAGACGATTTTCCTGAATAATTGTGAGAATTTCTGAATAATTCTAGTCATCATTACGCTTCCATTTTTTTTCCTTTCTTGTTTACTCGAAGTGATGGCATTCGTCATCATTACATAACCATGATTTATAGTTACACATCTAACTGTATACAGTGTTATAAATATTATATTTTAATAATGTATTATTGATTACAGCCTTTGAATATTACGTTCTATAACGCTTTGACAGTTACGTGCGTGGCTTTGTAGAAGAATTTACGCTTCCGAATTTTAAAAAAAAAAAAAAAATGGCGGCGGTGACATTCTAGACGATGTAAAAATACATAAAAAAAATAATCCAACATAATTGTTTTTTACGTAGATAAAAGGAATTTTTTGTAATCTTGTAAGGTAAGCTCCTTCCTGATTTCGTTCATAAATCCTTTTATCTGACTTACAACCATAAATGGCCGAGTTGAAATTCCTGTAAGAAGAACCATTTATCTCTTGTCCATTATCATTTTAAGTAAATAGCAAGTGATGCACATGTTAGCTAGTAAGTTACATAACTTAATCTCTTTTAATAATGCCACTAAGCTCTAATCTTTTACCAATATCACTAAGCTTTCGATAATGTAGGCTGGAAGATTCGATGAATTACTTTGTGTCTGGTAAGCAGTTGGATATTTTGTCATCGCTATTTACGTGGTTACAAACTTAATACGAAATTAAACCCGCAATGTAAATTGATTAGTGTCTTATAATGAAGCAAATTAGACGAAATTTCACTTGTCAATATACCTGAATAACATACATAGTTAATTACACCGTATAATTATATTCTTTTAGAAATTTTGGTCGGGTTCTCTATTATAAGAGGCTCTCTATTTCGTTAGTGCATTAGTGTAGAAGAAAGGCCTCCTATGTTAATTTTTAAGGATGATCCAACTGCTAACTGTTAGGAATGTAGGCCTTAAGCTATAACTTGTGTAAATCATGTAGTTATGTTACTGTATAAAAGTACAAATTTAACAATCTATCGTAAATTTTTGACATAAATAGTAATTTTTCTCATGGCTCACTTAATGTCATTCTTGATTTTTTTTTCTTTCTTTTTAATTCAGAGCCGAGGAGTTTTTTCCTCCTTTTAATGCCAGATATAACATCGTTGGATGTGTCACCTTTTCTTAGATATTATCGCCATTTTCCCCACAGATTTTACCAAATCCATTTACAGAATTAATCTATAGATAGTATCTTACATTACGTGTACAAATATGGTAGCAAATTCCTCCGAAAAAATAAGAATTTTTCTAGTCATAAAAATATTTTATCGATGATTCTCCTTTTAGATATTTATGACACGAAGAAATTCTTTAAAATATCGTTTATTTATTGAGGGTTTTTTACATTCAAAATTGATTTTAAATTGTGAAAAAATACAATTTTTTACCTACAATTGAGTTGAGAAAATCTATTTTTCTTTTTTAATTAAAAATTAACTAGGAGGTGCGAAGTCTTTTGTGTGTTTGTGGTGTCGTAGAAAAGAGATTGTCTTTGTCTTTTTTTTCCCTCTCTCTTGTATCGATTCATGAATAAAATATGAATTAACGACGTAAATCACAAAGTCGATCCATCTCTTCATCTTAAATGAATACGGTTGTATAGCAATAATGATAAAACAGCTATTTTGGAACCATAATTGATCGCTGGGCTCGCTTTCTGTATGTCAGGAAAGGGTGACTTAATTTTCTAAATTGACTTTTGTGGTCGATTTTTTTGTTTTTAATCCTTGCGTGAATTTAATCGAAAGAAAATTTTTAGTTTTTCGGAAATTTCTGATAAGAATACCGCGTTGACGTCACAGTGGGTAGGGTGATGAATTAAGTCTTTCAATTATTGACAGTCAGGATAGTAGTTTCTTGATTGCTAGAATGTAACAAAGAAACTTATTTGCCGAACTGGAGTAAACCAATTATGTAAAAGTAAACCAATCAAACAGGATGTAATAAAATAAAAATCTTTAAATTCGACGATCGATTTTATGTACTCTTATTAATTATTAATGAATCAGACGAAAGATGTTTTGGAAAATGTATTTTAAAAAAAAGAAGGTACAGATTAAGATAATAGATTTTTAATGTTTGCTTTAATGAAATTTACCGAATCTTCCTCGATTTTTTTGCTAAAGAATGAAAATTTTGTAAATGTTTTAATAAATAAAGGGTAAATTTATTTATTAAAACATTCTCCCCCTTTTTTTTAATTTTAAAATTCATTTTTGAACGAGAATAATTTCGTACAAATCGATGGAATTACATCGATTGATAACGTTAAAAAATCCATTTTTTTAACTCCCCATTCTTGTTTACTTTAAAGTAATTTCAATTTTTCTTTATTGGAAATTTTCTGGGGCACACAAATTTATTATTACTACCTTTTTATTTTTTATTTTTTGCAGTTATTTTATTTCAAAATCGCTATTTCACTTTCATAATTATCTGATTATTTCTTATTTGTTGTTTAGTAGAGGAAATATATAAAAATATTTTCTGTACTCCGATAAGATAATAAAAATTCTTATGTGCCAATGCTGATTATAATAATGGCTTCTTTGTATTAAATTAATAATTAAACAACAGATGCTATCTCTATTTTTTGAGGTATGCTGTTATGAATTTTAATATATTGTTTATAACGTAGAAATCTACTTATAATTGAATGTATATTCTATGTTAGAATGGATTTTAATTTTTATTTCTTTGGAAGTATTTTTATTGTGTTAAGAATTATTCTTGTGAATGATTATAGTATAAACCTTCCCGACAATAGTAAAATTTTACGCAAGTACCCATAAAACTGTTTTCTTCTTTAAGTACTTATTGAATGTATAATGATTTTTTTTAATTTTTATCAATGTATTTACAAGTAACGAATGGCCCAACGATAATTTGATATACTGATAACTTTATTCGCTTATTTACATGAAAACAATAACAAAACATTAACATAGATTAATTAATTCTTGGAAAAAAAAAGTAATATATTCTGCTAGGTCATCATCGGCTACAGAAGAAGAGAATTGGAATAACGTAGAACAGAATATTAACAAATCAGAATATTTTAATCACTATAATTGTATTTTTCAGGTATTTGTTCTAAGAAAATATGCCACTCATCGCATCCCTTCCGAAGATATTAGATTCTACATTTGTAGTCTTTCAGTACAGGTTGTGGTTTATAAGGTAAGATTTTTAATTTAAAAAAATTACTTGAAAATTTCTGTTAGTATAGTTAATTTGTGGTATAATAAATGTACGCAATGTCTACGAGATCGAAGTTATTATTCTAATAAAATTAATGATTACAGGGTCAGCTGACATCTACACAATTATGGAAATATTTTAAAGATCTACTAAATCCGAAATTCGAAGCTTATTTAGCATTGGTACACGCACGTTTTTCAACTAACACATTTCCTAGTTGGGAAAGAGCTCATCCCATGAGGTAAGATTTGCGTTAATGTAATTTTATTATTATGCAAATATTAGCATTTTACATTTTCTTTTTAAATCTCTTTTGAAGAATGTTAGCTCACAATGGAGAAATTAATACATTAAGAGGAAATGTCAATCTTATGAGAGCGAGAGAAGGGGTAATGCATAGCAAGCTTTACAGAGAAGATTTAAAGAAGTTGTATCCTGTTGTAGAACCAAACCAGTCCGATTCAGGATGTGTCGATAACGTTTTAGAATTTTTAGTAATGGCGGGACAACGTTCTCTTCCAGAGGTAATTACTGTGCTTTTTTTTTCTTTTATTTTTTATCAATTGGAACAATGTCAAAAATTCAACATCAGAATTGGCAGCCTAAAACTTTCGTGTATCCTGTTCTTTTTATTAATATACTTCTCCTCCTCCTCCTCCTGTTGTCCTGAATTCGTTGACATCGATTTCTTATTTCTGAGTAAGATATTAATGAACGGTTGCAACAGTTTTAGAATTTTGAATACTCTTATTATTATTTTTTTCTTCTTACATTTTTATGTAATAAAATGATTCGTTGTAAGTATGAGCACTTAAAAAGTCAGGGAAATTTACAAAAAGAAACAAATGCAAGTTTATTAAGTCGTGTGAAGACAAAACTGTCGGGTCACGCGTCACTTGCAAATCAAGAAGAATGTTATTGTTCCTCTTTTCCTTACTGAACTTTAGCATTGTTGATTGTGTCAGGAAGTCAAGTTTCCGGTTTAATGAACGAAGCTTCCGTCTGAAGCGATGTCTGAATTACTTATTTTGGCTTTTTTTAAAATAAGAATGTATGTATTAAAATATGCTGTTAACGCTCAAATTTATTCAAATCAATTTAGATTTAATTACCATTTTAATTAACTTGCCTATTATCAATCAAGATTTTATTTTGAATAAAAAAAAAAATAAGTGTGATGTGTATACACGAATTTTCAAGGTTTCTGTTGTTATCAGAAGCATTCTAACAGTGGAATTATGCTTCTGTTTTCATTGGATCGATGTATTTTCCCGTCTGGTAAAAACATTGTGGTGACCTTTACAACGAAAAATTCCCCTGTAGCTTTGACCTTGTAATGTGACCGTTGCAGTAATTAATTGTTTAGCAGTTCGTTAATTGATTTTGATGATATTTAATGATTGTTGTGGTCACTCCGTTACCAAACACATTAATTTATATAAGATTTCGTAATTAATTAAAATAATTATATTTAAATTAAGTTATTATATTTTCATATTATTATTATTATTATATTTCCCCTCTCGTAAAGGCTGTGATGACGATGGTTCCAGAAGCTTGGCAGAATGACGAATTAATGAATCAAGAAAAGAAACAATTCTATCAATGGAGCGGATGCGCTATGGAGCCATGGGATGGTCCAGGTATGGTTTTAAGTAACAATAAATGGGAATAATTATTCTTCTTTACATACCGAATTCCTAATTATCTCCAGCACTACTCACATTTACGGATGGTAGATACATCGGAGCTGTTCTTGATAGAAATGGATTGAGACCATCACGTTACTATTTAACTAGTGATAATTACATGATAATGGCTAGCGAAGTTGGTGTACTCGATGTCAAACCCGAGAACGTTATCCAAAAAGTGAGCAGGTCTTTTATTAATTATCTTACGTCAAGAGTGGAAAGTTAACGTGTGAGATTAAAACATAAACGAATTATTTATTAATTAGCATCGTTTAAAACCCGGGAGATTACTTTTAGTAGATACAGTAGATAAAGTAATCATTCGTGATGAGGAATTAAAACTGCATATAGCACGTCAGAGGCCTTTAGAAAATTGGTTAAAGGAGCTGGTAAGTTGTTTCTCTCTATTCTTAATTCTAAACGTCTATAGTTAATTTATTAGTGTGCATATTTATGTCCAGATGACACTCGACGATTTACGTGAAGCTAATAGACCGAAGAAGATGAATGACTTTAATAACGTAACAAATGATCATATTAATGGAGTGAAATCTGTTTTAGATGACAAAAGATTGCCATTGTTTGGATATACGATTGAAACAATCAATTTGCTTTTATTACCAATGGTTAATACCAAGTAAGTAAAATATTTCGATGTATACCATCTGTGCGAGACAGTTCTTTAGCCGTCTGTCTTCGTGTAGTTGATGCTCATTAGAGATCAATGGAATGACGTCAAACCAAAAAGTGCAACTTCTGCATCTTTATCTTTAAAAAAATGAAGGAAAAGATATGACAGAAAGCCAATTTTTCTTCGATATTTTTAGATGCTTGTCGATAAATCTTTCGCGCATTAAAATCTTTAAATGTCTCGTAATTTATAGTGTTAATATTTCTACATTTTATGGAACATGTTTTATTTTTCATCATTAGAAAAGAAGCTCTTGGCTCAATGGGAAATGACGCTCCTTTAGCGTGTCTATCAAAATGTCGACCATTGCTTTATGATTACTTCAAACAATTATTTGCTCAAGTAACTAATCCACCCATTGATCCGTTCAGAGAAAGAATTGTGATGTCCTTGGTAATATCTGTTTTTTTTTCTTTTTATAATGCATAACATATAGAAAGGAGATGGGTATAACTTAAATTTTTCGTAATTACGTTATGTAGGAATGTCCAATAGGTCCAGAAGCTAATATTTTAGAACCAAGTGCTGAACAATGCCGTCGTCTGTGGTTAAAACAGCCTATTCTTTCCTTGGAAGACATGGAAGTGATTAAAAACGTTTCTTATAAAGGATGGAAAGTAAGTTCATATGAAATTAAGTGTTTCAAATAAAAATATTCTTGTTTATATATACTTTGTTTCTGGCTTTCAGACTAAAGTCATAGATATGGTGTATCCTATAAATAAAGGCAAAGAAGGTCTTTTACCTGCCATAAATCGAATCTGCAACGAAGCGTGCAAAGCTGCTGAAAATGGATACACTTTACTTGTTCTTTCTGATAAAAAAGCTGGAAACGAAATGGTACCGGTCAGGTAAAAACTTATCATTTTGATTCTTTTAGAAAAATGCGTAAAATGAATTTTTTAAAAATGCGCTATTTCTTGAATTACAGTATAATTAATTAATAAATATTCAAATGATTCGATAAAATTTTAAATAGTCTGGAATTTTATCGTTTAAACATGATGATAAACTGCGTAATTACGAGAAGAATTTATGAAATATAAAGCATTACAATATTTCAATCGTTCTAAGAATTGAATTTTTTTATTATTATTCCTTCGTTAGTTAAAAGAAGAAAGCCTCCCCATACTTCATTTTTTGTGGTTTGATGGAAGAAAAAAAAATACATTTTTTTTTTATTTTACCATAATATTGCAAACACGAAGAAATATTGGATTTAAAACCATGATTTTCCTACGAGAAGATCTATTAATTAAATTATAAAAATTCATTTTTCTATTACCAAATATCAACAAGATAGGAAAATCGATTTACAATTCTTCAACACTACATTTTTCTTTACACAGTTTCCTATTTTATCGCATTTTAACTGTTTTATATGAAACAAAATGATAATTACATGTTTCCATTTCCTTCCCTCCTCCTCCTCCTCCTCTAACTGTTTTATATGAAACAAAATGATAATTACATGTTTCCATTTCCTTCCTGCATTTATGATTTTAACAATTTATAAATATTACTGTCATTTTTTGGTTTTCTCTTCAAATTATGTTCAGAATGACTCACATATTTTTCTATTTTAACCTATTCCTTATGAAACAAAATGATAATTACATGTTTCCATTTCCTTCCTGCATTTATGACTAAAGCAATTTATAAATATTACAATAAATTAAAAAGTTGAACTACAGGGAGTCCCATTTAAAATCAGCCCAACTGAGATAATGAAACATTAGTCATGTAAATTTCATGTGGGATATTTAAAAGGAAAGATATGAGACTAATCCTAGAACTATAATTAAACTAAATTAACCATTCACTGAAGCATTGAGGCTATCAATACCAGTATTTTATGTACGATCAGTAAACTCATGTTTACACAAAATAGTCACAAAAAGATATCTAAGCATCTTCCAAGTTTGTGTGTTTAAATATAAATGTTAAAATAAAGTTTCTAATGAGTGTCCTTTGTCTAAATTTGTATTATTTCCAGTAAGGCTGATTTTATATATGACACCTTGTATATCTAATACATAAATTAAAAAAAAAAAAAAATTATCAATTAATGAATATGAAGTTAATACCATAATAAAACAAAATAACTTACTGGAATATAAATACTTAAAATAACCAAACACCTTAGTATTTCCAGCAATGAAGTATTTAATAAAATAAAAATGTTTTCGACTATTTTTAATAGTCTTCTTCAGTTAAACCACTTTAAAACAAAAAGGAACGTAAAATAGAACACAAGTAATACAACGTTACTTGCGTTAAAAATTTGAAAATAATTACAAAATAAAAATAAAATAAAATGTAAAAACAAAATTAAATTAAAATAGTTTTATTTTATTTTTACTTTGTTGTAATTATTTTCAAATTTTTAAAACGTTGTATTACTTGCGTTCTATTTTACGTTTTTTTTTGTTTTAAAGTGGTTTAACTGAAGAAGACTATAAAAAATAGTTGAAAATATTTTTATTTTATTAAATATTTCGTTGATGGAAATACTAAGGTATTTGGTTATTTGAAGTTAAAACCTCTCATTCATTAATTAATGATTAATTATCATATCTAAATTAGATGACCAACTACAATNTTTTAATGAGATCAAAACAATAATAGATAGATTTGCATGAAATAGCTTAGATAAAATTACATAAAACATAATGGAGTTACACAAACAGTTGCTTAATTTCGAATAGTGTAACGGATGTTGACGTTTAATCTAACAGTTCGTTTACCTTATTCTGTATGTTATTTACACTTTTAAAAAAATCACGTATTTTACTTCATTCTAACCTTTATACATAGTGCTAATACGATAATATTTATTATTACGTTTTAAAATGGAAATTTAAATAACAGATAATGGCAAAAATGGGAATATCTACTCTCCAAAGTTATAAAGGAGCGCAAATATTCGAAGCCATTGGATTAAGTAAAGAAGTGATCGATAAGTGCTTCAAGGTAAACTTTAACTCGACTCTCCAAGTTGAAACGGTTTTATAGATTTTTATTCATGAAGTATTTTCATCGATTTACACAGAATACTCCATCCAGAATTGGTGGAGCCACCTTCCAGATTTTGGCGGAGGAAACTCTACAGAGACATCGTGCCGCTTATAATGACAAAGAATACGATAGTATGATATTAAGAAATCCTGGATTTTATCACTGGAGAAGTGGCGGTGAAGTTCACATTAACCATCCCGATGCCATTGCTTCACTTCAGGTAAAACTTCGTCCGATTTAAATAAATTTCACTTTTTTTTCTTTCTGACGTGATGTTATCGATCAGGATGCATCAAAGAATAACAGCCACGAAGCATACGAAAAGTTTGTGGAAAGAACTATGGATTGCGTTCGTCAGTCCACTCTCAGAGGACAATTTGATCTCGTATATGCAGAAAAACCAATCAAAATTTCGGAAGTGGAAGAAGCTAGATTCATTGTTAGGCGGTTTGCAACCGGTAAATAGTGTTCTAAGTAAAATTTTGAGCATGGTAAATAAACTTAATTGTAATACTTAATTATATTTTCTTTTTTAGGTGCTATGAGTTTTGGTAGTATATCTATTGAAGCTCACACAACTTTAGCTATAGCTATGAACAGGGTTGGAGCGAAATCCAATACTGGCGAAGGAGGAGAAGATTCTGATCGATGGTTGATCAAGCAGGAAAATCAAAATCGTAGATCAGCAATAAAACAGGTAATCGTCAGTTCAGATTTACTCTTGGAAGTTGAAAACAATTGCAAATTTTCATAAACTTTTTTTCTAATATTCTGATATATTGATATATATTAGAAAGATAGGATCGATTCTGTTAAAAATAGTTAAATTTTTAAACTTTTTAAGCTATTTTCCTGTTCTGAACAATGGCTATTGTTGTCTATTTTTTTAAGTTATATTTTTGGAAAGTCGTTCTCTAGAACGGCTATTCAAAATGTATCTTAAGGTTTCTAACGGTTCAGAAACTTTTAAAGAATGAGACTTCGATCTATATCAAAATTTAAATTAAAGTAACTTTTTATACATCTAAAATGATGATACGCTCCCTTTCGTTTTCGGCCCTGTACGACCTTTGTCCCTGCCTTGTTACGGCACTGTAAATCGCCATTTATAATTGGACCCGAAAAGTTAAATTAGATCTAAGCATTGATTCATTTACTACCACAGCTGAAATGCAATCTCTCCACTTTTTATTTACCTACCAAAATAACCAATATAATTGATATAATTTTAAACCATCCCCTAGTACAGTATAAACGTCATCTGTTGTCTTCGTTAGTTATTTTGATAGAGCAAAAGTAATGGCCATAATGGCGCATGAATGTACTCCATTATGTAGTACATCCATGCATATTGGAATCGTTAGACAAAACCGCTTCATTTATTGTTTTAAAATTCGAATTTTTCTCGTATTACATTTGACAGATTGCTTTGTCCGTGTATGAATAATACAAAATTCTACCGTTTTATTCTACTGTTTTTTTTAAACCTTTTCTATATTATTACTTGAGATTTTTGCTATTGCACTTGAACCCCTCGCTGTGCCCTTGTTTTGCTGTATATAACACACGTAAGTGTAAAATTCAACTTACACTGACGTCTACTTATGTTCATTTCTTTTACAAAATAATATAATTTGAGTATAAAAACGTTATTTTTGAAAAATTACGTTCCCAGCAATATTATGATATTAAATTAATAGAAAACACTGCGTAATTGTTTGTGTGAATTCTACTTATTTCATTACTTCGTGTTATAAATAGCACACGTCTAGTAATTTTATTGTCTTATTATTTTCGATTGTACAAATGTAACTTTCCGTTTAGAATTGATAGTGTTTTATTTTTATTAATTATTAAATTAATTGGAGGCATCAATATGTGGATATAATAAAATATTGATGTACAGTTTCTCTCTTTTTTTTAGCATTACAATAATTACAATAAAAAAAATATCCAGCAATGAGTTGAGTAACTTACCCAGCAAAACAGGTTAAAATTGCGTGTGGTGTCATCTATCATGAGATTTTATTAAACTTTTTTTATATTATTAATTATTATAAAATGGTAAAAAGCTTAATTTTGAGGGTAGAGACCAGTTTTACAAAAAATTGTGAATGCTAATAACGAGTAAAATATTACCGAACACACTCGAGATACAACACTTGACTCTCCTTTAGAGCTCCACCACCTCTTCGACATTTAACCACCAAAATCTAATAGCGTCAATGCGTCTAATATACAAACCTCCCCGCCAAAGTTCAGAAATTTTCGACAAAAGGTACATGAGTTAAACTTCAAAGTGGATGAACAAAATCGTACCTTTCACATACACACTAATATCCATACATATAGAAAAAAAATCTTTAATCTTTCTTACATTTCTCGTTGTTTCAAGGTGGCTCGAACCCAAAATTGCAAAAATCTGGGGGTCATCTTTTGACCGATAGCCATACTTTCCCCCTGTTTTATATATAACAGCTAGTAATTATTATGTATTTAATATGTACAACATAAATGAAATCAATACGTATGATTTATTTAGAAAATATCATTAAGAAATAGCTCAAATTTCATTTTAATGCAAATTTAAAGAACTTTTTACGAATGTAATTAACTAAAGCGGGATTTTTTTTTTTTTTTTAAATTGGATTTCTTTTAATTGGAGTTTAAATTGGAAATGGAAACAAATTACTTTCTCTAGTTTGTCTGTTAACAGCGTGAGAAATCTCATTAAATGTTTTACTTAAATCGACTTTGATTGATTGATACGCTAATTATAGGATCTTGTTATTTCGTGTGTTGTTTTTGTGTTATAAAACGTGTAAATTTAAACACACTCGTATCAATTTTAAGAATGTAAAAAGTTTGAAATATTTTTAAAATTCAATTTTATGAATTTTTCATAATCCATTGTTACTTAGGTGGCTTCAGGGAGATTCGGTGTTACTAGCGCTTATTTAGCAAATGCTGACGAATTACAAATTAAAATGGCTCAAGGTGCAAAACCGGGAGAGGGAGGAGAATTACCAGGACATAAAGTAAGCTTTAAAATGTACGAAATATCTTTTTTAAAATAAGCCTAATTTACATGAATAAAATCTTTCAGGTATCGTCGGATATTGCAAAGACACGTCATTCTATTCCGGGCGTTGGCCTCATCAGTCCACCACCTCATCACGATATATATTCTATAGAAGATTTGGCGGAGGTAGAACTCTTGGATTGATTAATTTAATTATACATTTAACTTTTAATTAGAAATTAAGATATATTTTAAATTCTTATTAGTTGATCTATGATCTGAAATGCGCTAATCCTCAAGCCAGGATATCTGTTAAATTGGTATCAGAGATGGGAGTTGGTGTAGTCGCCTCTGGAGTTGCCAAGGTAAAAAAAAAAATTGTCATTTAGAATAAATTCGTACATATGGATTTACAATTATATTAATTTAAATGTATTATTTTAAAGGGCAAAGCAGAACATATTACAATTTCCGGGCATGATGGAGGAACCGGTGCTAGCAGTTGGACTGGAATTAAAGGTGCTGGATTGCCTTGGGAATTGGGTATTGCTGAAACTCATCAGACCTTAGTGCAAAATGATTTGAGATCTAGAGTGGTTCTTCAAGCCGACGGGCAAATTAGGACAGGTATCAGAAAGTTTTTTTTTACTTAGGTTAGAAGAATTAAACAATATGTTGGAATTTAATTATTTTGTATTCCAGGATTCGACGTAGTTGTGGCTGCCATATTAGGAGCAGACGAATTTGGTTTTTCGACATCGCCGCTGATTGTTTTAGGTTGTACCATGATGCGTAAATGTCATCTAAATACGTGCCCCGTTGGCATTGCAACCCAAGTGAGTAATAAGGATCATTCTAACATGAGAATTTTATATTTTTTCTGTCTAAAATATTTATTTTTATTTAACAGGATCCAGAATTAAGAAAGAAATTTGCAGGCAAACCGGAACACGTCGTAAACTATTTATTTTTATTAGCAGAAGAGGTTAGTTTTCAAGTGTACCCTGTTTTTTTAAGTACTTTAGTATGGTATAGAAATAAAAGACTATAATTGATTTCAGGTGAGAAGTATAATGGCTAAATTAGGTCTAAGACGTTTTCAAGATTTGATAGGTAGAACGGATCTCCTTAAAGTATATAACAATAAAACCAACCCTAAAGCATCACTTCTAGATTTTTCTGCCATTTTGCTACCTGCCAATTCACTCCGACCAGATGCTTGTACAGTTGGTGGAAGTATTCGACAAGATTTTCAACTAGAGAAGCGCCTTGTAAGATTTTAAGATATATTTTACATTTTAAATTAATAAAATCTTGTTCGTTTCTCAATTTTATTAATTAAAATTTCGACAGGAAAATTTAGTAATAAAACAATCAATGGACGTTCTTGAGAAAAAAAGAAGTAACGTCACCATACATATGGATATTACGAACGAAGACAGGTGTTTCGGTTCCACGCTAAGCTATTATATTGTTATGTAAGTGTTAAATTAAATATTAATTTATATTTCTCCTTTATTGTTATTATTAATAATGTGTTGCCGTAGGAAACATGGTGAACAAGGTTTACCAAAGGATAGTATCCGAATTAAACTAGAAGGATCAGCTGGTCAAAGTTTTTGTGCCTTTTTAGCTCACGGGGTCAATGTAGAATTGGAAGGAGATGCAAACGATTATGTCGGAAAAGTAAATGATTTTTTATTTATTTATTTAATAAAGTTTAATCCACATTTGTTAATAAAATCCTTCTTCTATTTAATTAGGGCCTTTCGGGTGGAGAAGTTGTTATTTATCCTCCATCTGATCATCCTAAGAAATTTAAATCTGAGCAAAATGTAATTGTTGGTAATGTTTGTTTGTATGGTGCTACTTCTGGCAGAGCATATTTTAGAGGTATCGCTGCTGAGAGATTTTGCGTCAGAAATTCGGGTGCCATAGCAGTTGTTGAGGTCAGTACAGCTAAATACATTTAGCTAAAACGGGCCAATAGATCCGAATTCTTAAAATTAAGTTTTGAAATGTTTTTTTTCTCTCTCTCTCTCTCGTTTTTAGGGTGTTGGGGATCATTGCTGTGAATATATGACGGGAGGATGTGTTGTTGTTTTAGGGAAAACCGGAAGGAATTTTGCTGCTGGAATGTCTGGTGGGATAGCTTACGTTTACGATATGTAAGTAAAGAATGTAGGAAATAATGAAATAAAAATTTAATTATTTTCGCAGACAATATAATATCGTTTGTATGCTTAGAGAAAAGAATTTTGATAATCTCTGCAATAAAATGATGGTGGATCTCCTCCCATTGGAACATAAAGATGATCTTCAATTAGTGGAAAGTCTGTTAAACGAATTTTTAGAGAAAACTGGTTCAGATAAAGCCTCAGATATATTAAGAGATTGGCCAAAATTAGCGCAATATTTTGTTAAAGTAAGTGATTTAAATTGCAATTTTTAAAAGTTCATATTCTAAATATAACAATAATAATATAATGTTATAATTTGTTTTTAGGTATTTCCTAAGGAATATCAAAGAGCATTGAGGCAGATGAAGAATGAAAATACGTCAAACGAAATTCCAAAAACATCTTTACACAACGGGCCAATAGATCCGAATGAAGTTGCTAAAAAGAGTGTAGCAGATATCGAAGACACGGTGACGGATGTAGTTAAACAGAAAAAACAGATAGAAAAACTAGATAAAATGAGGTTTGTTTTTTTTAAATAAAGTACTTTAAAATATATTTTTAAAATTAGGACACAATTGAAGTATTTATTTTTAGAGGTTTTATGAAGTATAAAAGAGAAAAGGGAGTTTATCGACCTGTTGCGCAAAGAGTAAAAGATTGGAAAGAAGTTTATAATCACGCAGAGGTTAGAAAAACAATAAAAATTCAAGCTGCCAGGTATGACGTTAAAAAAAAATAAAAAAATAAAACTAAATAAAATTCTATTGTTAAAACGTAATAATATTAAAATTTTATTTCCCATCAGATGCATGGAGTGTGGTGTTCCATTTTGCCAATCCAGTAACGGTTGTCCTTTGGGTAATCTCATACCCAAATGGAACGATTTGGTATTTAATGTAAGTCTGACACAAATATAAACGGTCATATTTAGATAAACAATAAAAAATATATATATTTGCTTTAACCGCGCTGAAAAGCACACTATGCCTTATTGTTATAAATGGTTCTGTTGCTAATGGTATCTTTGGTAGGAAGATTGGCGAAATGCACTCAATCAACTCCTTCAAACAAACAATTTTCCGGAATTCACAGGAAGAGTGTGTCCTGCACCGTGTGAGGTAAGTTTATAAACTAAAATTAGAAAATTAAAGTATAATTGATCGACTCATACAAATTTTACTTACTTTTTTTTCTGTTAGGGAGCTTGCGTGCTGGGTATAAACGAACCTTCAGTTAATATCAAAAATATTGAATGCGCTATTATAGATAACGCTTTTGAGAAAGGATGGATTAAACCGAACCCTCCGAAATTCAGAACAGGAAAGAAAGTAGCAGTAGTGGGTAGTGGACCATCTGGACTTGCTGCAGCTGCACAACTAAATAAGGTAAGGAATGTTTCAGTGTTATTTATGAAAGGATGCAATTTTCAACTGAAATAATTAACTTTAGGCCGGACACACGGTGGTGGTTTTTGAGAGGAACGATCGTATTGGTGGTTTATTACAATATGGCATACCAACCATGAAATTAGGGAAGGACGTAAGTACAGAAATCTCAAATTTTAATATATATTTTTTAAAATAATATATACAAAAAAAAATCTTTGGCAACTTTCGAGAAACAAAACGCATTAATATTTGTAATCATAAATATATTATATTGGAATTGTATTTTTATCAAGAAAAAAAAACTAATTGAATAATTTAAAGAGAGAATATTTGAATCCGGAATAATTATTACTAATCATATTCAGAAGAAAGTTTTTAAAAATTCCTATAATTTCGATTCATAGAACGCAATTGATTAGTGTATTTCCATAGATGGATTCAGAATCCCATCCAATAATTTACCACAATTTACGTGGATATTTGGTTATCAAAACTGTTTCCTCAAATAGCTGTCATTTATCGATAAATTTACGATTTAATTGTTTATTTAATCCTATATTTCCTAGCATTGCAGAATATTATATAATAGAATGAAATGTAAACATAAATACAAAACATATCCAGCAATGAGTTACATAACTTTCCGGCGAAAAATATCTGTTTAAGAAACACTAACTTGTAAGAAGCGCCACACACAATTTTAACTTTATGCTAACGTATCTCTTAAGAGACTGTGTGTAAGAACGCCGATTGGGGGGAGATTTTTTCCCCTACTGTCGGGATGGTCTAAGGTCTACGCGTATGTGGGTGGCGGTTTTTAAAGGCAGCAAAGACAAGTGTTTCACAGAGGGAAACCGTTTATTCTGGACGAAATTGCTTAAATAAAGTCTCTCGTCGGCAAGGTCCTGTGTTGTTGGAAATTTTCGACGTCGGTGCTGGTCCTGCGTCGTCGGGATTTTCGACGGCGATCTGGTCCAGCGTCGTAGGGGCCCTGGACAGCGTCGAGCAAAAATGATCGAAGACTCGAAAGTCGATGCACAAGTATAAAAGGATGCGCGAAAAAACGGAGATACACGAATACAACAGAAGTTTAGTAGAAGTCCTGTTGTCCTTGGAATTGGTGCTTATATAAGTTTTTCGGGATCGGCTTTTTGCTAATTGGATAGACCTTACATCACCGTTTTCTAATTGGTCTTCCACCTGTCTCCAGGTGTAAATGGATCTTCGTAAGGTTCGCGAGAAACGTCGGCTGGAAATGGTTTATCCGACACCATCATTCTCGACTCTGATCTCGTTTAATTGTTGACTATGACACCTATGCTTTTTGATATTTTTTTTCTAGTTTCGTTTTGCTTTCTAAACTGCGTCTTAACTTTAATATTTTAAATTTTCTTCTTTTATATCTAAAATTTTGTTTTTCCCGTTATTTTTTTATGAGCGCTGACGTCAAAGTCCGGTATCGCAGATTCGAGACTTATATAATTTGCTTTCTTGACGATTTAACTTAACAAACTTTTTTTTTCTTATATCTTTCCCTTTTGCGGGGACTATTTCCGGGCCTCACATGTATATTAAAAATAACTTTTATATTATTAATTATTAAAGAGAGGAAAAAAGTTTTAATTTTTAGAATAGAGACGAGTTTTAAAAAAAATTGAACTGTGAATGCTAATAGTAAACGAGTAAAATTTGCACGCTCAGGTATGTGACCTTCTCACCCCTTGATCTTTAACCACCAAAATTTAATAGAATCAATTCTCCTTGTATACAAGTTACAGTTCCAAATTTCTCTTTATAATGTACTCCATCCTGAGATATTAAAGGAAACAGATGCCAACACACATATCCACACATATCAAAAGAATTTTTCCCGTTTTAGTGGAGGGGAATCAAATTTGACTCATATAACACGGGAAAGTATTGTTAATTAAGTTACATAACAACCGAGAAAGTAAAAGTATTGTAATTAATTAGATAGATTATATCAATAGGTTTCACATGTCAAGTTAATTTATCTTTTGTGATGTTTCAGGTTGTGAAGAGGCGTGTAGATTTAATGGCAGCCGAAGGTATCACATTCCGTACTAATTCCGATGTTGGAAAAGACATTTCTGCTAAAGAACTCCTTCGAGATTACGATGCCATCTTAATGGCTATAGGTTCCACTTGGCCTCGAGATCTTCCAATACCTGGTAAGTACATAATTATATTAAACGTTCTTTCAAGATTTACGTCACAAATGGTTTATAACATTATATTACGTGACAGGCCGTCATCTGTCCGGTATATACTTCGCTATGACTTTCCTAGAAACTTGGCAAAAGAAGCAAATGGGCAAAGATATAGATCACTTGAGACTTTCTGCTTATAATAAAGACGTTTTGGTTATCGGTGGTGGCGATACAGGAGTTGACTGTATGGCTACAGCTTTGCGCCAGGTAAATTTTTACTGTATTTAATAAATATCTACGACATAAAAATATATATATATATATATGTATATATTTAGGGTGCAAGAAATATTGTAACATTCGAAATCTTACCGGAACCACCAGAAAATCGAGCCAACAACAATCCTTGGCCTCAGTGGCCCAAAGTATTCAGGGTGGATTACGGTCACGAAGAAGTGAAATTGAAATTCGGAAACGATCCTAGGCACTACTGTATTTTGAGTAAGGTAAGAAGTATATTCTATGTTAGTCAGTTTTAAAATACAGTAACTTTATACACAACCATCGTAACGTACGAAACGTTTTTGCCTTTTAGGAGTTCGTGGATGATGGTAAAGGAGGTGTAGCTGGTGTGAAAACAGTTAAAGTTAAATGGGAAAAAGATGCAAGTGGGCGTTGGATCATGAACGAGATACCCGATTCCCAAAAAATATTTAAGGTGCCGATAAGTGATTTAAAAAAACACACACAAAGCTATAAATAAGTATCTAATATACTAAATATTTTTGGTTAGGCCGACTTAATTCTTCTCGCTATGGGTTTCCTCGGTCCCGAAAAGTACTTAATGGAAGACATGAAACTGGAACAAGATCCACGTTCCAATATAAAGACCTCGCACGGAAAGTATAGCTCATCTGTATCACGTGTATACGCAGCAGGAGGTAAGTATTCCGATAATACTTAAGTTTCATGACATCGAACACGGTAACGGACATATATGTGGTGTTTTACAGATTGTCACCGTGGCCAGTCGCTAGTGGTCCACGCCATTAACGAAGGGAGATCAGCAGCTCGCGAAATAGACCAAGATCTAATGGGCGAATCCTCTTTAGCAGGACCTGGTGGTTTAATTCCGTATACATTATCCCAAACTTGCCAGGTAGCAGTTGGAAGTTAATTCTACATCTTAGTGCAAATCGTCAGCAAATATGCCCCTTAGACTAGAAGCACACTTTTAATGAATAGGATCCTATTGTATATCTTTTATTCTTTCTCTCTAAAGTAAGTGTCCTGTTCCGACACGAATTTTGCGACCACTACAGGTCGCATAGAGAGTCTTCCAATTTGGTGCCCAGGTTGCGTATCTAAAGAAAATGAAACACAAAAAAAAAAAAAACACACAAAAAGAAGTTATGTTCATCTCTTCGACAATATTGTCGTGTTGTTGAACTTTTAATTTGATAGAGTTCAAAATATTTTTATGTAGGACATCACGGTTGCCTTTTAAACAAAAAATAAAAAATAAAAGTACGGATGGAGCCTTAATTGAGACGAAGAGTTCAAAGTTTAGCGTCAGTTTCTTAGTATTATCAGAACACTAGAGGGAATTTTTTCTTTAAATGTGATATATGAAGTCTTAATTCAGGATATATATACATACATATATATTTTTAGCATATACAAAGATGGCCGTCTGAAAGCGAGATGAAGCGAAGTAGCACAAAATTTCAGAAATACATATCGCTGTAATCTTCAAAAGAAATGTTGTGAAATTCGATGTTGTGCTATATTCAATCAAATTTCATAGTCCAGACGGATATATATATACTGTTAAAAGAAAAAAAGACTGTAAAATGTTTTAAAATAAATCATAATCTAAAATGCGTGCGTATAGTGGATAGTATAAGACTTTAAAAACTTTATTTCAGAAAAAAGTAATATGTAAATTGTACATAAATCAGTATAATGATTTTGTAAACACATACGAATAATTTAAACACTTCTAAACATTTTCCCCCCTCTCCTCCCCAATGCGTAAACAGTAAATCTACAATTCTCGTTTTGTTTTGTTTTTTTTTTCTCTTGTTCAGCTACACCCAAACACCACAAGCCTACTTTCCTACGATTTTTTAGTTCATAAACTATTCTAAATATCGGACACGTCGTATTGCGTGTATCTGTAGTAACTAACTCCATCATCTGCGAGTGGCTCGTGGGGAAGGGTGCCCTCTTCATGTCAAGAAATCGCTTCTTTAGTTGTTACTGTGTTGAAACCGGTGAGGGGCATGAAAGGCAGGCCATTTTCTGGTTGGCGTTGCTCGCGTTTTTTCCGTATCGGTTTGGTCGATCCGCCACAGGTGATAGCAAATTTCAGTTCACGGCACAATTCTAAACATAACGGTTCCTAAATATAGTCGTATCACGTGTTAACTATATATAAACACACAGACGAAAAAAACTAGAACGGATCTTACCCTTTCTTCGGTGGCGACTTTTCTGGATTTCCAGATGAATTCTATAACGGCTATGATGCAGGCGATACCCAAACCTGCTAACAGGACCACAAATACTCCGCCAACGTTAGCCAGACCTAGTGCATTAGCGGAACTTGCTGTGGTAGAATCTTCTTTTGTACACAATACCCCACCTGTTTTCTCTTTCCACCATTTTTCTTTCAGTATGTGGATCTGCCCTGTTTCTTGTAATTTCAAAATGGCGCTCGAAAGGGCAGTCCTGTACGGTGAACCTGTGACGATGATGATAAGTTTAGTGTTTTTAAATAATACTTTCGTTTGTTGTGTGTTCCTACCTGAAGGTGTTGCAATTCCGTAGCCCTTAGAATCTAGCAAGCCGCCTATTTGAGTTAAATCACAGTCCCTCTCTACAACGTACTCGATGGTCGTTGACTCCATAAGAAAGGCATAATTTCCCTGTTTGACCCTTTCTTTGCCCTTTTCGTTGGATTCGACAAAAACACTCGGTTTAGCAGATTCCATAAAAGTCCACATGCGCTTGAAAGTAGGGATGCTGGAGTCCTGAAACGTACAAAAAATTGAAAATCTAACGCGGAACGAGTGACCAAATTCGACTTACCCTAAAGAAAATTTTAGTGGTTCCGTGCAGCACGCAGCCATATTGAATTTTAGTCTGTTTAGCTAAATCGTCAGCACTTTCGATCGGTGAAACCAGCCGTTCCACAGTGAGGAATGCAGCCAGATTAGCCGTGTAAGAGGACACCATGATCAAGGTAAAAAACCACCAAATGCCAGCCACAACACGTGTGGACATAGCTCTGAAATATTTAAAAAAAAAAACCCCCATCAAAACCAGTAATTCATTCCGAAGCCAACCTTGTACCCGCTACTCACCTTGGAGTTAGTTCAGAACCTTGTTGCATGAGGCACCCGACGGTAAACCAAAGTGTATTGAGCAGAGTAAACTGGTTCTCAAGTATATCGGGGTTTTGGTTACACGGATGCGGATTTGTCCATTCATAAGGACTAAATCTAGCCACAATGAATAGGAACAAACTAACGCCAAGAAAAGCCGTTGCCATGTACACCCACACTTCTAGAGATAGGGGTGATAGAAATGAAAATAACTTGGGCATTTTCTTGGTGGGTTTCTTGAACAATATGCTTATTCCTAAATTCATAAAAGGCATGGTAAAATCCACAACTTCTTCCCTATCGAAAGAGATGGTCAAATCCCCAATTGCAAGATCCGCTTTCTGTAAATATGCTCAATTAAAAAATGTATGCACAAAAAAAATTTAAGCAAATCAAAAAAAATCATCATACACCATCCATGAGCTCCCTTATCATCCCGTTCCATTCGTTATAATCATTTTTCTGTCCATAAGAGTTATCTTCCACTAATTTGATTTCGTAACGGAATTTCAGAAGCTTGGAAATTTCGTGTAACAAGTCTATGCAGAAACCCTCATATTTATCGTTTCCTTGTAGAAAGTCCGCATTTTTCTTAAGCATGGTGTATGGGGCATTCTTAAAGGATCAAATTACACCATAAAACGCACCAAAAAACTTTCAGAAATTCTAGAAATCGGCGTCACACTTACCAACAAAGTAGTTACTGTTAAAGTCTTGTTCTTCAGCGACTGAATGGCCTCTTCGTACGCTCTAGAATAGTTACTAGTCAAGTTTAAGCCGGTGTGAACGTTCCATTCTCCTGCCTGAACAGTAAAACAATTAAAAACAATACAATTTTCTACTCATTTCTTTACCATGAACACTTACTTCTTTCAGTCCTTCGTGTGTTAACTCCAAAACTTTCAGCTTAAAATCTGATCTGACACCGTGCTGATCGAACTTGATGTCCGACGTCAAACCTTTGATGTTAATCTAGAATTTCGCGTAAATTAACTGAAGTTTAAACTTAATTAAATGAGTTAATGACGATTACCATTCTCATGTAATTGATGAGAGAGATCCCGTGTACCCACGGCTCTTCGGTAACGCACGAAAGGGGTCTTGGCCTAATTTTCTGTCCCTGGTCCAAGTCATTTAGCGCTTTGGCCAACAATTTAACGGCATCGTACATCAACGCTACCTCTGTCTGGAATTTTTTAATTACAATTTAGAAACGAGCGGCAGAAAACCCGCCCCCCGAAAAGATTCCAAAACGAACTTACCGTTATGTTCTGATAGCCCGGGTGAAGAATTACAATTAATTTTATTATAATTAAGAAAAAATTCGATTAAAATAAACACTGCTTACTCTTAAGATTGTACTTTCGAAGTCTCGTTGATTGTGTACAGGAGATAGCGGTTGCCACACTTGATTAATCACGGAAGTATGCTGCATCTCTTGCTCTACTAATCGATAACCGGAAATGTTCGTTCCGCCATACTGAAAATCCTCGAGATCTACCGTATCTATATCCTAAACAAGCGTACAAATTACAACATGACTGTACAACACAATGGAGAAGATCGCGCGGGTGTTAAACCCGTCTGAACTCACCAGAGACGTTAAGAAGTAATTATGGTATTCGGACATCATGTCAACCTGTTGAGCCTGAAGAGGAAGGGGACAAAATTAAACTAATTTCCTCCCGCATTCATAATTAAATTGTGAAAAATTTTACGTGTTTCAATGCCGTATGGATGTGGTTAGTGGGTACATCAAGTACAATATTCTTAATCCCGCTCCTTCCTAGTTCTTTAAGAAGTTTCCTGTACTCTTGACCGGGCATGAATTGCCTTACTATAATCTTACGCTCTCTTATAAATGGATCCTTGAGCAATTCTTGCAACCTTACGAGTGCTGCAAAGTATAAAATTAATTGTAAAGATAATGATTTAAACGTGTACAAAGTACAGTACGTATCCAACTAACCATCGCTCTCTTCGTACAGTACCGCAAACGTCTTCCAATCCTTAAACTTTACAAAATCTAAATAAGCTTTTCCTAAAGCTGTAGGGTAAGGATACAGATTCAAGGAATGATTATCCCTTCTAGAACTATAATCCCAACGTGTTTCCATATGAGGTACCTCTAGAACGTTACAAGTCGACTGAACGGCAGAGTTGCATTCTCCAGATTGTGGACCAAAGATGGCGGCCACTCCTTCTCCTAACAGTTCGCATACTACGGAAGAATGCGTTAATTAATTTTATGTGTTCTACGCGTTGTAAAAAGTTTAAAATTACCTTTTCTAGAAGCTTGGAAGCTATCGTGACGCTCTATTTTCTCTACAACGGCTAACAGTCGCGATTTCTTCAGTAATTTACCATCGGCATTAACTTTCTCCACAGCATCAATGAATGCCTGTGCCATAACTTCATCCCCAAGTTCAAAAATTCCTCCTTTTTTTAAAAATTTTAAAAATGTTATTATTATTTTAATGATTAAAGTTATACACGAGTTATATTTCATTCTATTCTATGGTAAGATGATGGATGATCACTAATAAGAGCATCCCCTCTATCAATTATGCTTCATTGTAATTACAGTCGACCCCCTATAACACTGTTGATTTTTCCGTTTTATATGAATTCCATGTTGTACGAGTCACTTAGATTTTACAAATACGTGTGCCGGGCTGTGAACGGCTCACGTATTTGTAAAATCTAAGTGACTCGTATAACATGGAATTCATATAAAACGGAAAAATCAACAGTGTTATAGAAGGGTCGACTGTAATTAGGGAAGATTTTATGTTAAATAATTTACATTTTAATAACTTATTAATATTTTAAACCTCTTTTTTGTGTGTAAAATTGCTTAATAAGTAAACAAGAACCATCATCAAATGGCATCATTTTTCCTATCCTGTGTGATGGGGATCTGTTTCTTCGCAATTAATTTTGAAAGCATTTTAGTAATATTTAATAACGTTTTTTATATTAAAAAAATCGCCCCTAAATTTATATTATTTAACAATATTTTAGAAATTTTATTAAGGAAAACAAAACCTTCAAGTGATGAGGAGGAACATCAATGGTTAATCAGGATACAGTGCTTATCATCATTAACTTATAATACTTTAAGGTATTTAATTTAAATATTTTACTGTTGCTTTGCATAATAAACACTTTTAAAAAAGGTTAATTAAGAGGTTTTCTTAAAGCATTTTTTTAAACATAAATTAAACCACAATAACCACAAAAATATAGTTGCAAATGGGAATTTAAAGCAAAAACTAATAAAATATTAAAGTTTTATATCAAATGCACTCAATTTTGATATAAAAAACAATTAAATTTCGCATTTAATTGCTATAAAAATCCACCATTTTTTTTAAAGTCTAACTTTATAAAATCCAATGGGAATTTCCTCATTAAACAAATGATGAGCGCTTAAAATACGACAAACTTAATCTAAATCATGATTAATATCTTCATTTAAACGTATTTAAATATTATAAATGATTATTAATTAAAAAATAAAAAAATAAAGGATATTCTGCATCACTCCTGGATGTGGTTGTCATGACAACAACAGTCATCGATCGTGATGCCATTTCACTAAGATCCTTATTTTTTTAAAAAATAAACCATTTAAACTTACCGATTTTAATATCTTCTGGTAATGGAAGCGTTATTGGAAGGTATAACAAGCAGAAAACGATTAAAGTTAACATTATTGTTGGAGAAGAGGAAGGATTTTACTAGTTTTGGTATCTATTCGACGCCATCTTGGATCGTTCTACGTCAGAAGAAGACTCCGCCCAGCCACCTGCTTAAAATTGTCATCTGCCAAACGGTGAACATATTTTTAATCATTATTTCGAATGTATTTTTGATAATTTTTTCGTAAATAAAACTAAAATTAAATAATTTTCGTTAATTTATTAACAATTATTAAACTCGCAATGACGTCACTACGTATCATGTGACCCGATTCCGAAAAATTCGTTATTAAATTAATAAACTAACCGATAATGTAATCAATTTTTGATTGAAAGAATAACGTAAGCGACTTTTTTTAAAAAAATTACGTGTTATTACGTATATCGAATACTTTTTAAAATTGACCAATAAAATAATTGAATTCGAATTGTATCCGTTTGATTGGAGAGAAAAAAAAATTTTGAATTCAAATTTCGTGAAAAGACCAATAAGATGAAACTTTACGTTCTATTAACCAATGAATTCAAAATTATTTTCGTTACGTACATAAATATCAAAATACGTTGACGCGATATAATATTCATGAATATTTATTTATTTATTCTCTGTTATAATATTAAATAGGACAATTAATTATAAATTTAACTAATCGAAATAATTTCGGATGAAAAATTAAACATATACTATACCCGGAGAACAGTTTATATTCATTATTCACGTAGATAACACAATATCGTAAATTTCGTCACATTTTTACAAATTAAATAAATACTTTTTAAGTAATCTTCTGTTTAAAGTTAATCTATTTACATATTTATAAAATTTAAATAGATTTTCTCAATATATTTTAATATAATTTAAGTTAAATTATCTAACACCGTAATTAAAGTTACACGCCTAGCTTTAAGTAAAAGCTCAAAAGAGAGACTCAGTTTGGAGTTTTTGAGTAAGACGTCGCGCTAATCAATATCATGATACGATTTTATTACTTCATGACATGGAACCAAAAGGTAAAGACGAAAAATTTGTTAAATATTCTCGCCAGCCTTTATACGCGTGGCAGAAGAAGAGCGTCAAAGATAAAGTTATATGCAAGAGATGTAACGGGATTGTAAGAGGCAGCAACAACATAAAACCAAAGAAACCACGAAAACCTCTACAAACCTGCACCAAAATATTTTGGTACATGAGCATTATCATCTGCTGTGGCGGGTTTTTGTTCCAAAGCATCTCTTTCCTTCAAAATTACTACGAATATCCGACAGTAACCGAAACTATTGTGGAGAATATAGGAGAAATCGACTTTCCAGGGGTGACTTTATGCAATTATAACAAGTAAATATCCATTTTATAATGAATAATTTTATCTAGAATGAATGTAGATGATATATTTAAGAATATTTTAACTTTAGAAAGGTTAGAGATACGTTTTTAATAATGATTTACGGATAAGATGGCAGCCGCAACTCTAAGCGCTTCGCGTCGCGCATAGTCTACATAAATTTATCAAAATATTCAATTCTCGTGCATATTTCATTTAAAAATATAACAATAAGTTGCGTAATTTAGATTAAGTTTACTATTTAAATTGATTTTAAGTTGTTTTATACATATTACGATACGATTGAAATGTTAATTCGCGTCGCGCCGCGTCGCTTGCATGCTGTTTTCACGCGACGACGCGACCGAATATAAATAATATTTCGTGAAATTCCTTATAAGTAGACGGTTAGTTTCTTATTTAATGATCGAAATTTCATAAAATAATTGTTATTTTAATGTTAAAACCATTTAAAATTCGTTATAGAGTCATCAATTTGTTATAATATCTTGATTAACAACATGGCGGTGAAAACACGATGCGACCATGTTAACTTTTTTATGACTTTATTTCAGAGTTCTTAGAAGTAAGTGGTGTAAGCAAGATGATATCGATATATGCGAACAGGCAGAAAATGAAAGTTATTCTGTAAGTATATTTGTTACAAAATATAAAATATTTACGATTATAAATAGACTTTTTACATATTTAATTGCAGGAGTTTAAAGACAGACTAGAATTCACATACAAGAAGTTAACGAAGGAGGAGAGAATCGAAGCGGGGCCACAGAAATCTGGATTTATAAAGATGTGTAAATATAATGGAAGAAAATGTATCGATAAGTAAATTGGTTTACTTTACTTCTATTTTTAAAAAATCAAATGGAAGAGATCTGCTGAAGACCACTCTTTCACTGCTTAACGTTTCCATGCCGTGATTTTTTACATAAAAATGTTAATTTTGGGAATCTTCTGGGTCCTAAGCTTGGCATAAAGTAGCTTTAGGTTCTCCTCCATCTGGGCATGTTAGTTAACACATGTATTTAAACATGTATTAATCATATATTGGACAAGGGATCGGAATACACTTCTTGTAGGCCCTCAAAATACACTTATAACTCTTGACTGGGACATACCAGTGGACTCTTTGGTCAGGACGAGGCCCTAAACTATAATGCAATGTGGCTCGGGGCACAGATAAGCTTATTTTTTTGCATAAAAGTCTAAATTGTCTTTATTTTCCAAATATTTTCTAAATACCAGGTTAAATGGTTCTTCTAAATGTCTGCCATATTTGTTCTTATATAAAGGGCGAAATGGCTCTTCATACAGTCAGTAGCTAGTGGATCGAAGCCTAAACAATAGTAGCGGGACTGGACCAACTTGTTGTGGCCCTAAGCTATAACCTATAACAGGCCCTTATACCAAATAATGACACATAAAAATGTAAGGCCCATTTACACTTTTACGTGTATTTTTATAAATGCCAGGCCTTATTACTCATAATGCGAGACCCTAAGCTACAGTATGTTTAGCTCACGTGCAAATCCGACCGTGACTGGCCACGGTCGTCACAGATTGCGACCACCAACAGATGGCCACGTGGAGTTTTTCGGGCTGTTTTCATGTGTCTAACACTTAAATAAGGCTCAGTTTTCTATAGAAAACCCTCTCTGGAAACACCCCTTAGCAGATCGCCCTAGAGTTATGTTGCCTTCTATCAATCCAATTTAATCCATTCATATAGTGAATAAATATGGCGGCCATAACAGAAAATATAGTTTTTTTTTTCTTTATAGTTTTGCAGTAGAATTACAATAATAATGGTTATATTTTATTATTTTTAAAATGATATTTACATTCTTTTTCAGCATATACAGCTTTTTCGATTATCATTTTACCAGTTGTTTTACTTTTAATGCCCAATGGGACAATAAAGCAGCAGTATCAAAGGCAGTCGGATGGGATCCTTTAGACAGTAAATTACCAACTTGTAAGTTATTTTAATTAAATTAGTACAGTTTTATTGTCTGCATTCTTAAGAAAAATGCATTATCTGCACAACATTCAATTGTTTCGAAATGTAATTGTCTCTTGGGTATAATTTTATTGATATCCTTCTTTATAGAACGATTTAACAGGAAAATGCTATCGATACGACAAACAAACGGTTGAGTTACCAAGTGTATTTATAAATTACTCACCCTTCATTGGTTAATTTCAATGGCGTGAATTCGTGGTTCGTAAATGGAAACCTTGAAATGCTCTTATACTGTGTAATACGAACGAAATGGATATTGATTGCTTGCATTTTATATTAAAAAAATATACAAATAATATAGAAAAGTAGTCAGACAGTAACATTTTAGGGTTTTCTTTTATATTTTTCCACACTGCATGCCACAACACCAGTTGAGAACATGATTCTCAACTGTTTCTGTGGCATATTAGTTGTCAACCGGTTTATTTCTATCAATAATTACAGTCGACCCCCATAACACTGTTGATTATTCCGTTTTATATGAATTCCATGTTGTACGAGTCACTTAGATTTTACAAATACGTGTGCCGGGCTCATGTATTTGTAAAATCTAAGTGACTCGTACAACATGGAATTCATATAAAACAGAATAATCAACAGTGTTATAGGGGGGGGTCGACTGTATTTCATATGAAGATCTACCTTAAATGAATAAAACAGTATATTTTTAAATCTATTTTACAGTTCTTAGACTTTGGATAGACTTTCAATATAACGAATACACTCCTTTGCAATTCAGAACTTCAGGCAAAGTGGTCATACACGAAGCAACTAACTTACCAAATCCCGAATGGAGTGGACTTAATATAGAACCTGGATTTTTTTATAAGATCAAAATCCAGCAGGTATGTACTACATAATACAGAAGAGATTTTTACATACATTATACTCAATTCATTGTTTTTTGCAGCTTACTAAAGAGTTACTGCCTGCACCTTATCAAACGAATTGTATCGATTATTCAAAATTCCCCCGGGATATGAGGAGCAATGCTAAATTAGATCAAGAAGTAAGGCATGTTGCACCTTTGTAACACGATTTCAATTGTATATTTTAGAAATTTTTAAATATTATTTTCAGAGTTGTGTAGACGAATGTTTATTGAATCACACCATTAATATATGCGGATGTACTTTCATGCGGTTAGCATTAAGTTATAACAGGAAGATATGTGAATCGGAAGAGAGTTTAAAAGGAAGTTCATGCGAGAAAAATGACAAATGTATATATATATATTTTCAGTTATCTTTCTTAATACGAGAAAAACCCGATAATTTTCCACTGTTTTGTATCGTAATGGCGGCAATGTACAAAGCCGACATATTGTTGAAACACTTTTTTGTCTTTACGATGCATTCAGTAAGTTTAAATACAGATGTGTATGCAGCAGATGGCACGACAAAACTATGTTTTAACAGGAGTTGTGGGATATTAAAACAATGCAGCGACATTTTTATATTAGTACTACAATTGGCCTAGTGTAATCAGAATGGGACGTTTACACCGGCGACAATTTTGTCGCTGCACGAAATGGCTGCCAACACTGGTCATTTCGTGCAGTTCTTATAGTCCGTTTCTACAGGTTACCTCTACAAAGTTCATAATATAAAACTTTTCAAGTATATAACGATTGTGTCTTGTATATGTACACACCGATGACAATCAAAGAAATAACTACAACAATATGTCAACTGTGTACTCAGCCTAAGAAATAAATATATCTACTTCTTCATCTCCGCCAATCATCTTAAAGCTAACGTATCTAAATTTAAATATTCGCTAATCTGTAGAGATATGTTTATAAATTAAACAAAAATTTAAATACACAAGCTTCACGGTGATTGGTAGAAAAATTGAAACGGATATATTCGCTTCTTAGTTATATCGCGAAGGACCGCCTATGTTCGTTGGAAGTTTCTGAATTTAATTTAAAATGTTTATAAGCTTATACTATTTTATATTATTGTTAATATAAAAGAAAATTTAATTAACTTTATATAAATATTAGTTTGTGTTTGCTACGCGAAAAAAGAAGCTGCTAAACATTGTCCGCATCTTTGCAAGTTATCTTGCAAGTAAGTAATTCTATTCATGTCCTAATATATATATATAGTGTGGTCCAAAAATCTGTTAACTATGATTTATTTGAAAGCAATTTATGAGTCTGCCAAAGCGTTGTGTATTGAACATGAAAGACACAATTTTTGGCAATCCTTACAAGGTTTGAAAGTGTTTAAATAAGATTGAAATTTACTCTCTACACTGGTTAACTGATTTTTGGATCACCCTGTCTTATTTATAAGTTAATTTGATAAACTTTAAGACAGGTTTATTACGAAGAAAAGGGTTTAGAAATCTTAAATTGGCCTGGAAGTATTAAGGTAGGTTGATCGTATCCTCTAAATCATACAATACCAATTAATGAAACTGATGTTTTCTTTTTAGAAAATATCGAATTATTACAATTACACCAATTTGACTGAAGCTAGGTAAGTTAAAAACTAATAAATTATAGATTTTTGCAATTTTCTAGAAGCTAAATTCTTGCATCTTGTAACAGGAAGACAGTTGCTTCCGTTCAAATATTCTTTACAACAATGGAGACGACTACAAGAAAATATCAACCTAAGTATCATGTATATATATATATATATATATATATATAAATGGCTGATAAAATAGTTTATATAAAGAATCATTTTATGAAATTTTAAATTTATTTGCAGTTTGTAGAGATTTTTAGTTACTTGGGTGGTTTCGTGGGATTGTGGCTCGGAGTATCTCTTCTTAACATCTTCGAATATATAAAAGATGAAGCATTGTGTCTTGCCAGATGTGTGAGGAAAATAAAGAAGAAAAGTGTCAAACATGGCGATATTTCTGCACATAAAGAATAGGAAATTTTATCAGAGTACTTTCTCCATTAAAAGCTCTCAATACTGCTTTGAATATTCATCAAATTTTGTTTATGGATACATATTTTGGAGGGGTTTTTGCTATTAGGATGGTCTGTTATGTAAAGTGTAAAAGAAATCCACGCCCAATTATGTTAACTAAATTACTTGTAATGCTTTGTTTATAGTAAAATAAAACTGGCAATAAATATTCTTTACAATAGAACTTTTATTCTTGAAATTATTGTTTAATTTAAGATAGAATTCTCCGATTACCGAAAAATTTGCAAGCATTACCTGGTGTGCAAGAGTAATTAGTACAACTGTACAACTAGTAAGAGTAGGCACAATGATTACAATTGTTCTTCTATTGCATGTATTACTGTAGGCCAGTGTTCTTCAACTTTGGGTCCGCGGAATTTCCAGCCTTTAAATATAAGTAAATTTATCTTTATCCTTCTGCCGGTCCTCAGGCGTGAAAAGGTTGAAGAATGCTGCTGTAAGTAATGCCACCAAAATACCTTTAAATCACTATTTCAATATCTTATAAAAAAGGCTCTGACGTAAAAACTCACAGTATGTCAGAGTTTTCAGCGTATCTGTTGTTTGGTCTTTCAGGTTTGTCTGAATGACCCAAAGACATTGACAAAATTCAACAAATTCCGCATCACTGGGCTGAGAGAAGCGAAAATGGCCGTTTTACCGAAATTTTTCGCCATTTAGGCCGTTGTAATCTGATCAGATTACAATGGCTTAGATTAGCTACACACCCTAACACGGCGATTAGATTTTTTCAAACTCTTTCCGCCCACGTTTGAATGAAAAGAGGTCCACTTAATGAGCCTTTTCAAGCCTACAATTGGATGGCCGAGTGGCAAGGAACAGACCCGACATATCTGAAGGGATTTTTATACCGCCCGAAGAGCTAACGTTTATCAATCAATTAAACAAATATAAAATTACATAATTTATATGTCCTATGATCAGCGTAACATTTCCCTAAATGAATATTTTAAAAAGACCAATTAAATTTGTTTATTTCATAAAAATTTTCCAGTTTTCCGGAACGACTTCTAGAGCTTCACAGAACATACCTAATAAAATAATAGACATCTTTCTGTGAATTATTAGAATATATACAATTATTATTTAATAATAAATTTATAGATTATTAAATATGATAAAAGTTACGAAATATTTTCTAATCTTATCAATTTCGAATAAAAATCCCTAAACATCGACGAGGTGGCAACACTTAATCGGTGTATGGAAGTTGTTTACAACATGCTTTCCTGACCATTGGCTTTGGATCTATATCATCAAAAATTCATGTTTATAAGTTATTTACTGCTTTTAAATGACCTCTTTCGAATATTTAGTAACTCAAATGAATCAAGGACGCAAATTATCGTTATTATTCTCTAGACAGCGCGGTGTATGGTTTTATTCTGTCAAATTCCATGTAAAAGTACCTGTTGCTTGCTACTCTACTAAACAACCATCAGGTAAATGCTGACATGCCCTTGACCTACATCACTTATCTATCTCTCTAAATATATATTTACACGTTGTCAATGTTTATTTATGTATATTTTTCATTTAAAAGTCAATTTATTCTAATTAATTTGAGTATACTTTAAGGTAGAAGTTGCCTTTTATGTAATTTTCATGTTTACATGTACATAAGTGAACTGAAAGTGACTTCTATCAGTTAAGTATAACTCTAATGTATTATATATAAATTAAATATAAATTACATAATGAGTAAATAACACATTTTAATATAAAGATAACGCATTTATGAGTTAATTTGTGATAAGCGAATTCTTCCAGAGATTAGAGTGTTCGGCATGCGGTGAAGGTCCAGTTTTACTTTGAGGTAGCAAATCCATCTCTGAATGAGACGGTCGGGACCTTATCGGAACTGTACATCATGGCCTTTGGAATAAAATAGTCAAAGGAACCGATGTGACTTTTTGCAAGATATAATGTGTGTCTCCTTATCAAGCTGCTAAGTAAGCAAAGCAATGACATAGACCGTTTCATATGAAATGAAGTAGGTCATTGGCTTGCTTACTTATCTACTTGACAGAGAAATGTGCCCATAGGCTCCCAAAATCAGTCATGCTGGTTGTTAATCATGTGATAGGCTTAATGTAGTGCACAGCGTGACTCTGATGACATCCCAGTAATAGTCTGTGCAATGGCATTTTTCATATTTTACAAGCTGTTTATAAGATCTTCAAGTACATAAACAGGATCATGCTTGCCAGGCATTATATCCACTCTTTCCAGTGAGGTTGCCAGCCCGAGTTGAACCAGCAACATGGACTGTTAGTCATTATTGGTCTTTTCCAATGTGCATATCATCATTGCTAAGCAAGTATCATCTGTAGGTTAATGTAAAGTGCGCTTCACATCTGTTGTACATAGTTTCTTAATCCTGTCCCCTGCGTGGGACAACTGCATTTTGTATTTAGTTTATTTTGGTTAAATAATCATCACGGGACAGTCGCGCATAAGACTCTCATACTTTCCTTCCTTCTCTATCCCCCTCCCTTCCTCCTTTCCTCTACCCCACTTCTCTTTCTCACTACTTAAATCTCAATTCCAACCCTTTCTCCTCCTCTTATCTTCAGGCTATACCTTTTGGTGAGGCCATAATCTATACTAAGAAGAAGAAGCTGTTTACAAGCTCTATTAAATGGAAAACAGTTGATTTTTAGCAAATTTTTACCCTATTTTTGAGGATCTTCAAAATTCTGGATAGGCCAGTTTCATGGAAAGGCTATATCTCAAAGGCTCGCACGTAAATTGTCTGTCCCTTTGACTTTTTGCTCCCATTGTCATGATGTATACAGCTTTGATAAGGTCCCGACTGCATCATTCAGAGTTGTGTTTCTACCAATAAGCGTGCATATTTTTATGGAGTAAAACTTTATCTTTGCCATTAAAATTAATATTTTATTCTTCATATAAACCGAGCCTGATGTATAGTAACAAATATACAATATTGCCAAATTTTAATCTTGATGTAATATTGGCTTGATGTAATATTGCTCTGCAATATCATCCAGGCATGTTATTGTACACGATATCCAATTTATAACACTTACTCTTGCTCAAAACATGTAACGAAAGGTTATTTCTTAATTGTGCATGTGAAACAAAACTGAATAGCTGACTGTGAGAAAACGCGATCAGTTCCGATAAATCAAAACAAAATTAGAGATTATAACAACAACTTTTGGCATTCGATGAGATCTAACGCTTTTGTATTGCTCGGCACAAGAAAATCCATTAGATGGTGTAAAAAGAATTGCATTATGTATTCTAGAAATAATTATTCATCATTTTCCATCAAGTAATTGGTTTCAACTGTAGAAATATTAATTGGAGATGATTTGCCGCTAATACATTTGCAGGATAATACAAAATAATTGACATGGTGTAATTAAAATTCTTGAAACTATTCTGTTTTCTGTTGCTGTAGCTTATTTTTCAGTGTTATTTCAGATGATAACTATCTGTTGTTTACTCCATTTGCTACAAATGTTTCTTTCTTTTGCTAAAGTCAAGAACAAGTTTTATGAGACAACTTGCAGATGACATCTGGTAACAGATTGCCAGCTAATTTAACTCGTAAACAGCAGTCAATGTGTTAAAAAGACTAGCCAGATAGCCGCACAGGAAGTGTTGTCACTTTATCAGCTATCACAACAAGAATCTAGGTTTGAATATAATTTATATTCTCATAATATAGAATGAGTCATTCACCATAATGTCTGACTTCCTTTTGGGAACATCTTTCTCTTATACAAATAAAGCACCATTAGGGACTGTAATAAAAGTCTTCTTCTTTGGCAGATTGTCCACGTGTTGTGTTATCTTATCCTATCCATCCCAGATTTTTCTTGATCTTCTACATTTCTCTTTTGTGATTTCCATCGTGTGGATATCCACCATAGTCTATATTCTGTTTACGTTTTATAATATTGAATTATTATATGATTTTGAAGCAATAAAACCTATTATTTTTCCAACAGGTGAAATTTTAAACGTTTACCGGAAGAAATTGGATTCCGGTGATCTACGACCCGACGAACATCAGTTGGAAATCGTCCATCATTTATGCCATCTTCAACAGAAAATTAAAAACTATTCACCCAAAAAACATGGATTAATTTATAGAGTATAATAAGTCACAACTTTAATTATTACTCTTTTTATCTATACAAAATAATTAATTGATTCTTTCTGTAGTTTCTGAAAGGAGTAGAAAAACCCGAGAAGCGAATTAAAGGAATTTATTTACATGGATCAGTCGGTAAGGGAGCGTTCAGCAGTTGCGTAAATAAGTTACAGTTGTATAAAGTTAGACCATTTTGTGTTCGTTTATAGAATTTTGATTGTATTTTAATTGGTAAAAAACCTGTTATGGCCCATTAATGTTTGACGCTAGAAGAAAGACGGTTGTCTCGGTGCTTCACCAATTTTTGGCATCATCCACAAATTGGCCTTTGACTTTTTCTCAAAACGCTAGTGCTTAAGTGTGTAACCTTCTCATCATATTGGGATACACATTCTTTTAAGGCATTCTTGAAAGATCTGGATACATGAAAAATCATGTGGAGATGACAAATCTGCCACACACACACCTCCGTATTTACTATGTAAAACTTTCCATGCAGACTTCTATAGCAATTGCAAGAAAGCCTTAAAAGGATGAGGATTCTCTACATGTAAGAAAGTTATGGACTTTTCTGCAAAGTAGCAGTCAAAGAGCTTTGAAACAGCATTAGAAAATCACTAAAGTCTTTGCAGCAGCACTTCCATCTACAGATAACACATTAAGAGACTGTACAATATCCTTTAAAGTAGTCAAAATTCTAAAAATGAGCACGAACGTGTTTTATTCGATTACGCTTCGTACTTTCTAATTGAATTTTACTTTAGGATGCGGGAAAACGATGCTGATGGATTTGTTCTTTAATCATTGTGGAGTTACAGAAAAGCACAGAGTTCATTACAATTCGTTTATGCTTGGAGTTCATGCGAGTAAGTGTTCTTTTATTCAATTTATATATAAATTCTGGTGCTAATTGCGATTGTTTTGCATTTACAGAAATTCACGAATGCAAGAAAACCTTTGTCAGAGATAGAAACGTTAAATCCCTCCAGTTCGATCCAATCAAACCTGTCGTCCAAGAATTGATTAGTAAAAGTTGGTTATTGTGTTTAGACGAATTTCAGGTGATTATAATAAATTATGAAAATATAGTTGCATTAAATTACTTATTTTCTGTATAATTAATTGATTTACAAATGTATTAGGTGACTGACATTGGCGATGCTATGATACTGAAACGCCTGTTTACCGAACTGTTTAGAAACGGTGTGATTGTTGTCGCAACTTCTAATCGACGTCCTGATGGTACGTAATTTAAACATATTTTAAATAATATTTTGCACCATTTAAGTTGCTTTACTTCAATATACTTTTAGATCTATACAAAAATGGTTTGCAGCGAAGCAATTTTCTTCCATTTATTGGTGTTTTGAAGGTATGATTAATGTTTAACTTATTAATGTAGAAAGTTCTTATGGCAAGTTCTCACTTACTGTAATCAACCACAACCTTCATCATTTATTTCCCATTATGTAGAATCAAATTTACTATTTTTAAGGAATTTTGACAGTAATAATTGTAAATGATTATATATGTACTTGTATCTTTCCTCAACAACAAAATAACATTAAGTGAGGACTTACTGTGTTTAAACTTACTGTGTTTAAACTTACTATATCCTGGTTAAAACATAAGTGCAATCTCAAAATAATACAGTATACCAAACTGTAACAGCATCAGTACTGCAACAATGGCATATTAAAAATAGCACAAGTGTAATAAAGAGGTCATTATTTTCTGAATTAGCATAAGAACTATGGTTTTCAGTTTACGCAAATTCAAATGTATACAATTAAATATATGCTTGAAATTCAAATAGAAGTGTGTCAAGATTCTGGCTCATAACAAGGGCAGAAAAAGGAATATGCATTATAAATTATTTATTATGCCGAAGCAAAAGTATGGGCTGATTTCTATAGAACCAATCCTAATGCATTGGTTACACCTTACGTAGTGATGATCTCTTCCAGCTGCTCAAAGGCGTGGAACGGTTTTCCGTAAGGTAGCTCCATAAGAAGTTTTAATCTGACAACACTGAATGGTAGACGTGGAAACATTAGCGACTAATTTGTTCACGAGAAATCTTATGGATTTTAGTTTCCTTGTCAACTTGTATTGTTAACATCAATGGAACTTGCTTCACATTGGATTTTGGTCCAAAATGGAGTGACATGTCTTATATTGTGGGAGTCAGTGACATCAATATAGTTATTTTGGCAACCGTCGTTTCTAAGATCTGCAGCCGCTTCCGATTGTTAATCCTTATCAACTCATACTGCTACCTGTACTCATCTCAAGGAAAGAGTAATATTCAGTAACAAACCTTGCAGACTTGAGCAGCTAGAGAACATCACTACATAAATCGTAAACATTGAACTGACATCACTGACAGAAAAGACATGTCATATGTATTGTGTCGAAATATGCATCTTGGTGGTGGTCACTTCCAGCATACAATTTAACTGTCCTGCAAATTTGAACACTTTGTATGCATTTGTTTGTGAATTAAGCTGACATATTGGATATTATCTTGCAAGAATCATCCTATATATGCACGCACACATACACTAGTTCTAGTTATAGTTTCTGATTGTATTAATTTCTTTGCTTGTTTTTCTCTAAACGGAGTTCTGTACAGTAGTTCTGCATTTTTACTGCTGTAATCAGTTTATTAAACAACCATAATATACTTTCAGCAGTGAAAAGAAACAAAAATGACGAGCAACTCGAAATTAATTTCATATTAAAAAAATGCTTTGGACTCTACCTTATTATTTACAGTGAATTTTTTTTTTTTTTCCATTCACATGAATTTTATATATGTGATGATGATACAGGAAGAGAAAACTTTTGTAAATAAAGATTTGATTGTAAGTCATTAATATGAGGATAGACTGATGCCTTCATTTAAAAAAAAAAAAAATATGAAAAGAGGTAGATTAATTTTAAAAAATAGTAAAAAGTCATATATTTTAATTGTGCGTATTCATTTCTTGATGTCCACCAGTGGCCGAGTGGCTTTTGCAAGACATTGGTAGTCAGTATTGCATTTGCACCCGACCAACGGGGCGGCCACATTGAGTTTTTCTGCTTTTCTTTACACGTCTAACACCTAATTATGACCTGTTTCTCATAGAATGTCTTCTTGGGACCATTCACCTTGGCAGATTGTCCACATCTTTCATTGTGTTATCTCATCAATCCAATCCAACTTCAACTTAATCACTATTCAGAGAAATTCTGTAAAATACTCAATCCATGCTCAAACTTTGGTATTCAATGGAAAGTACCAACCTTTTGACAACTCCTTTAAGATTAGGAATGACCAAAAGCCTGTTGGTGCCAGATTTGGGCTGTAAGAGAGTGTGGAACAAACTGTAACTTTAGGTTCTTTAGTATTTTCATTGTTTCCTCACCTTCAGCGAGAAAATAGTGAGGACACACATCTTCCCAAACTCTTATACGTAATGCTTATACAATAAAAATATATCGAAGATAATCCAAAATTATTTCATTGATAATCCAACATATGCAATGTCGGATCATAGAAATAAACTCACGAGAAGATCAATTAACCTTTATAGTATTTGCTTTTCTTGCTTTTTTTCTGTTATAAACACGAAAAACATCTTACGAGGATAAATTTGAAATAGTCTTTCTGTAATAACTACATTTTAACAATGCTTTCAAAATGTTTTAACCGCAGATTGAGACGTCATTACAAATTAACTATAATACACAATTTATCATCATTATCGTCATCAAGTACACCAGTAATGACAGCAGAAGTATATAATAAGAATAAATTATTATTTGTTCTACATTTTTTGTCATTATTTCAATAGCATAACATATTATCAAATAACAAAAGATACGTTTCTAACAACAATTGCAGCAGTAATTATCTAAACAATGACAAGTCATTTAAATTATTTAAAAGTAGGAACTCTCCTATCTTTCTGACATTGTTCGTGCATATACGTGTCCAAAAAATTTGGAATTATCCATCAAGATATCAAATCAATTCTTTCATGTTGAAAGGAAATGTTTTCGACATATTCTTCGACCCTGGACTTTGTTATAAAAGTGTATAATAATTATTGAATAAATAGATAAATAGTATTTATTTTTATACTGCCATTTATGGAGACTTGTTAACATTAATCTGTAAATAGATAACGTATACAAGTTTCCTCTGTAAAGACTGGTTTACACTATATAAATGCCATTTTGTTGCTCGAAACCGCAACGAGTACGGATACGCCTCATTTAAACAGAATTGTAACCTGCTGATTTTGGTTTGACAAATTGCAATGCAGTTGCAGAAAGTTTAATCCATTCAGTTTTTCATGTGTCGCATCGTCGAACCAATCAATGACAAGATTGGAATCTCACAATAGATTGCATTCTTAGTATTTGAGAGAAACAAATGCTCTCGCATATGCTCGGAATTACTCACAATTCATATTCCGGCGTTACCCAAATTGGTGACAAGATTTGTCAATGTGTTTTCGGGTGTGACAAAATGTTGGTGGTACTCGTACCGGCCTTAAATATATCTTGTGCAATTTATATTTTTCTGTTAATTAGAATTGTCCTGTTACTAGTTTTCAGAGATTTTATTTAGCCAGAGTCTTTATAAAATTAATTTCTTATTACTTGGACTTTTTATGAGAAACTAGCTCTTATTTAGGTGCTATATGCACGAAGAAAATGCGCAAAACTCCATTAGTCGGGTGCAAATCCCTGGACCGAGATTTAGTTGTGTTTGGTTGTCTTATCCACTCGTCTACTGGTGGACAAACTTTTGGCCAAGAGCTTTGTTTTATTTTCATTATAAAACTTATGTATGTTGTTACTGTTTTAATGCAAATGTCCTCTCCAGTTACCTCTACGATTTCATATTTAGAAGCATTGATAATGCAGAAAATCTAAATGAGAACAGCACTCCAACGAACAATTTAGGAAATTCTGCCAAAAGTGTAGGTTGTGTCGTCAGTAAGCTTTGCAACAGTTGCATCTATACAATTAGCATCAAAATAATTTAGGATGGTTAAGATAGAAGAGGAAATTGGCATTTTTGGGAGTACCACCATTTAGAGTTTGTATAGCTGGACCTGTTCCTAAAGTTACGACCGTATGTCACGTGATATTTTTGTCCTAAGCCCTTACCTTTGATATGAATTGATTGCACACGTATGCCATCATTTTACAAATATGAATTGTAAAATAAGAGAATCGTAACATTTAAACTAGTAATAAGAAATTAGAATTATTTATATTCTTTAATTTCATGCTTACGTTATAGAAAAATTGAGCATCACATTAACTTATAGCAAAAGTGATATGCAGCAGACTTGTTTGGGACATTTTAGGAATATTGCAACATCCTCCTGCTCGATTCGGGTATCGACTACAGGCAAAAGTTTAAGTCGGGGAAGCACGTTTGTTATTTTATGTGAGTATTGTAATTGTCCGCTATATTCGTGATTTAAATCTAATCCCATCAATTATTCCTGCACTAATTCTTACAGTAAAAGCAATTTGGATGCAAATAAAGAACTCAATCAAATATTTAAAATACTAGCTGCTCGCGAGACCGACGGTAAGCTTAAATTTTGCAATTTTCTCATAAAAAGCCAAATGTTCTTTGAATAACGTGGATTTTTTTGGTATTTATATGTAGTGGTCCGGCCAAAGACGCTAACCATCAAGGGAAGAAATGTGCTGTTTTCTGTGACGTGCGGACAAGTGGCAGACTGCACGTTCGATGAATTATGCAATCGAGTAAGTTTTCTGACAGATTTCTGTCTTATTTTCTTTTTTTACAACTTACTTTAATTGTGTTTAAGTGTCATTTAATTCTTTAATTCTTCACTTAGCCCCTAGGTGCTGGTGATTATTTGTTGATGAGCCAGGTCTTTCACACCGTTATTATTCGCGATATACCACAGATGATGCAGTCCCAGAAGACGCAGGCTAGACGTTTTATTACTTTAATAGACATTTTTTATGATAATAAGGTAATATATAATTACATGCTCGGACAGTTTTATTATCATTATTTTTTCTAGTTTGTCCCGTATTTTCAGGTGCGGATATTATGTTCTGCCGACGTTCCCCACACCCAGTTATTTACAACCGTCGGCAACGCAGAAAATCTAAATGACGAAAACAGGGCCCTGATGGACGATTTAGGAATCACTGCCGAAAGTGTAAGTTGCTTAATTTGTAAACCGCTCGACTATTTAATGCGTATAAAATCACACCAATATAATTTAGGAAGATTCTAAGGCGAGCATTTTCAGCGGAGAAGAAGAAATTTTTGCATTCGATCGCACCATTTCTAGACTAGCGGAGATGCAAACAGAAGAGTACTGGAATCAGCGAGGAATTTCATAAATTACTTATAAATTTGCACCTAGAGACGCCTCGTGTATAGAGTCTAACATGCAGAATTAAAACAAAATGCTACAGTATTATTTTGAAACTGGAGACAACTGCATACATCACTAATGAAGTTAGGATCAAATATTATTTATATATTTACTTTGTTAAGTTTAAAATAGTTAAAAATAATAATAATAAAACTGTTGAAAGAGAAAAAATTTGTAATTTTTTTTTCTTTATTTAATACATGAAAGGTTCTTTTCTTTTCTTCCAAGTGGGATCGGTTCTGATTCCAGCTACTGAAGATTAATTCTTAATCCCTGCCAACCTGTGCTGGACTCAATGACTTCAGATGTGGTTCTTAACTTGAGTGTCAATCTGACTCAATGTTCGAGTTCAACTACAATCCTCCCTCCCTCCCTCTCTTCCTCTTCCATAAGGGGGGAAGTTACGAGAGGTGGAAGGTCACGTCATTTAAAAACCTTCCTCCTGGAGAAACTGGGGCACGATTGTCATTCTCTCGCATCTGGAGACACTTTCGTTGGTAGATGTAATGGGGTTTTTCTAGGAAATTATTCCAACTTTCCTTGTGCTTAAAGTTGTGCCAATTTCCCTCACAAATGCCTTCAGGGCAGAAAAGTTTATAAGTGAAGGTGCTGTCTTTCCACACTGGAGCCATCAGCTCTAGGAAGGACAGCGCCTGTGGTGAAGTGGTAAAGGATGGCACCTAATACTTCCAGATCAAACTATTCACAGAAATCTCTAAAAGTCCAACCCACATTCAAAACTGCTCCCTTGGAATGCTTTACGATTCGATAACACAGAGTCCGGATCATTCATTGTTAGATAAAAACACTATATTACTGTGACTTTTTTTAATGTAATTTAAAATTAATTATGCACAAAATTCTGGTGAAAGCTTACATCAACTGAGATCCATGATGATCCATGGCTTAAAACCAGTTGCGAGTGGTTTGTATGCTTATGTCTTTCAAATTAATTGATTTGGCAGCAAAGAGGACAACCGAAATGAATTATTGGTGGTTTAAAGATTAATTTTCATTTCATACTTAATTAGTCAGATGATTGTGCAGTAAGATATCAAACCTAATCTTTTTAGGGATTGGGTTCATCTAGTACAGACAGGGTTCCTACGCACCTGGAAAGTCAGGGAAAATCAGGGATTTTCATTATTTTTTGAAAAAGTCAGGGAATGTCAGGGAATTTGTCAAAAATTGTCAAAAAGTCAGGGAATTTGTCGAAAATTGTCAAAAAGTCAGGGAATTTGTCAAAAATTGTCAAAAAGTCAGGGAATTTGTCTCCTTAACTGCGTTGTTGATTTCGTTTGCTGAATATAGATGACCAATCATAGCCATACGCAAACGGCAAGAAATAATGTTGCAATTTTTAATAAGAAAATACACCAGGATCCATTTTGAAATGGTTTTTTTCATCGTTCTGAAGCCATATAATTTTACAGTTGTGGATTAATAACAGGATAAACTACTTTTATGTAATAGTGTTTAATTTTTAATTTTAATAATTCAGCGATTATAAAAAGATGAAATTGTTTATTAGAATAAAAAATAACTAATTAAAAATTTGTTTGCAAACTTTTAAAAGTTGAAATCGTAATTTATTAGAATGTTCATTTCAAAATAGCTAAATAGATCAGTAAAAGTCTGTAATTTAATCGTTTTTCACGTTTAAAACATTACTACACAGCATAAAAAATTATAAATAGTTACCCGACGTTTACAGTAAAATACTGGTGCTGACTTGTTGTTGGCACAAGCTTTTTATATTTGTTGTTACGATTTTCCTTGAAAGTACTGTACTGCAAGCATATTTTTCCCTCTCTTCTGTTTTTTTCTGCAACTTCGATACATAGTTTAATAATTAGTTTAACTGAAATGACGTTGTAACAAATATCACTGATTTTGGCAAATTTAGGGCTTAAAAACTGGCAAGATTGATCATGCTTGTAATAAATATTCTGTAGTTATATTTTCGAAAATCAACAGGTAATCCGATAGTTTAACCAATGTTAACTTGCTTATAATTAAAATTTAAAAATTAAAAAGCTGTAAATTTAAAAAAAAATAATTACATTACTAAAAAATTAAAATAAATTTGATTATTTTTTGTGCGAAACAACACCAAAACAATTTTTATAGTTATGTTGCAAAAGAAAGAGATTTGTAGTTACGA